TTCAGTGTTTCAAAGAAACATTCTGAGAAAAAAAAACTGGTTATTTTCCTATAAATTTTGCTCTTATATCAATCAAAATCTCTCTCTCTCATTCTCTTCCTTTCTCTGAGTTATCTAGGAATGTCTTTTCTCAAACGAATCACACTTTTTTTCATCCAACTACATCGCTTTTGACACAAAAATGCTTTTAAAGGTATTCCGCCCAATGAGAAAGTTCCAAAAAAAGGTTTCTCTTGTCCTTTTTCTTTCTGTCTTACTCATTGAACAGCTATTTTATGAAATAAATCTTTTCCTTGATGTTTTGTTCGATAAAAAATTATGTTTTCTTCTGTTTTCTTGTAAAATCTATATGCACCTGTCACAAGAAGGAAGGATCTGCCTTTTTCTGACAGCTGACTCAGAATATTCAAAAATGATTTGTATTTTGAAAATGGTCAGATAACCCTCAGGCTCAAAATTATCTTCCCATTCCTTCTATTTGTCTGGTCATTCAATCGTTGTCCATCGTCAGAATTGCTTTTAGGTCCTCCATTTCTTTTTTTCTTTCCCTTTTACCAGTTTTCTCCAGTTCTCTTCTTTCCTCGTCTTATTTTCCCCATTAGTTTCTCCTGATGTGAACGGCAGATGTGAGCAAGCCCAGAACCCTGTTAGACGTTTTTTTTTTCCGGATCACATTCGTCATTGAACCGTTCGTTCTCATTCTTACTACTCGGTATAAATATATATATATATATATATATATTCATTTATATATTTACAATGTCCTTATTTTTTCTTCATTATTGGTTTTGAAGGGAAGTAACAAAATTATTTTCACACTCCATTTCCCATAAGCAGTTAATGAAAATATGGCAATGGCACATCTCGCTTTGCGTAACTTCAAAAGAAAACTTCGTCAGCTTTCTCCTTCTCTATGAGGCACTTGAGAATTCAATTTTCAGTCCTTCTACTTAAAGCTCCTTAGTTATCATGTGAGAAACTTCTAATTTTTTTTTCAAAAGAGCTGGAAGCTTTCAAGGCAAAAAAAAACAAACAAACATGTTAATTTCCTCACAAACAAATGAGCAGGTTGAAGCGTAAAAATCAATTTCAAACGTCTTGTCGGAGAAGTTCAATGATGAAGTGGAAGGCTAACGAATTGTATATTAGAACAATTTTTCGTTTATTGCCAACTTCAACGAAAAGATAAACCCTGAAATTTAAGTGATTTGGGCATAAAACTGTCTTTTCCATTCTCTCGTACTCTCCTGTTTGCCTCATAAATACGAAATGACTTCAAGTTAAAAAATAATCGTTCAGCGATTTATCAGCTGTGGTGGTAAAATGTTCTTTTCTTTCATGTGATTTTCTAGATGTTAAGAAGCTTAATCTCTCACCTTTCTTCTCACAAAATTGTCAGATAAACCAATGCTGCCCCCCCAACACTATTTGAAGAATTTTATTCATTTCTCTCTCAATCTGTCTCTCTAACGTTTCTACTCTATCTCCTTTATTACTTATCGACCAATACCTTATATGGAAACAATAAGATGGTTCAAGATAGAGAGCCAACAAGAAACCTTACCAACGTTTATATAACCATATGAACCTGATAAGCTTGATATACCAAACAAAACATGTTTGCTTCAAACAAAAAAAAATAATTGAAGAGAATCGCTTTTTTTTTCATCGGTTTCCTCCACCCTTGCTTGTATTCTAATCTGAATGACCTAAAATCCTGCGCTCAAAGAAAAACATGAAAGAGAACGACCGCTCACATGTAGAATCAAAGCTAAAATGATTCTTATTTTACAACAACCAATACAGTTGACAGATTGTTTTACCAATTCTCATTTTCAAATTTCAAACTCGTAGCGCCGGTTGATCTCAGCCAGCACTAGTGCCAATTCGTAACAACTTACTGATAAGGTTTGTTTTTGACTGTTTTAAAGATTCCATATTACTACTCTTTCTCGTTTTCTCTCTCTCTTCTTCTCTGTTTCTCTCTCTGTCTTTTCTTCATATCCATTCAGTTATTCACATCATCTAAGTTTGAACTTATTTGAAATGCATTCATTTGAAATTTTCATATAATTATTTTACATATTCTCCTTATTCTCAGTCTGATTTCCGTGACAGTTTTCAAGAATATTTATGTCTTTTATGACAATCGGAAGTATGGCTAAGTTATGAGCTATACCATTTATGGCAAATATACTGGCTTGCATATCAAACATCCTAACGTCATTGATTCATATTTTGTCATCAATTTAGGTGATGAGACTGTTTGCTTTTCTAATCCTACCATCATTTTTTTTTCATCTTATACACAACCTTCCCACGCATTTTCGTATAAGCTGAAAACGCATTCTCATCCAGTCATCTCATATCATTTCACTCTTCTTTTTGTTAACTCAATCATTTTTCCCATTACTATTTGCGTCAATTGTACTTATCATTAGGTGCGTGTTATATTTCCTTATCAGATACCATTTTTTCTTGATCAAACCTTTGAGCCTTATTGCTCTCTTCCTTCCCCACTTTAGTAATTTACTTTTTAATATCTAACACTTTCTAAACTGCCTATCAACACTAGAAAGAAATGTTCCGGCAGCTGAACAGACAATCTGTTAGACATTATTCTAATATTTGCTTAGGTGAACACATTGAGATCCATATTTAGCACATCCTTTTGGTCAAGGATCTTCAAAACATCTTAATTGTATCTGATTTTTGAATTTTTTTTTCAATTCTTCTCATGAGCGTTGTCTGGCGAAAAGCCGAACGTCCACAATATTTTCCATTTTTTCTTTTTCTCATTTTTTTTCTTCTCTCTCAATTATCGGTTTGATACATGTTATGACTAGTGGGAGTCTATAATAGTTCATAACGAGATTATTTTTAGCGGACCTTTTCCAATCGCTAATTTGAAATTCATTAATGTCTTCATGTGAATATTATTTAAGCTATTCTTATCAAGTTATCATTTTCAACCGAATCACCCCCGCCTGTCCATGTGGACATAAGGCTCGCTCAGTATCATTCTCTCCTCTTTGGCGTAAATAAAATTCATAAACTAGCTTTAGGAGAAAGCATAAATAATTGCTGATGTGAGCATTTGCCAAAAGCTGATGAGCTTAATCGCGCATTATTTAACCAGAAAATGTTTTTGTTCATTTTGCGATCTTAAAATTTAACTTGATTGACGTAGGAGTTTGATTAGTCTTATACAATCATCTAAACCTGATGACTCCCTTTATGAAAAACTGGGAATGAATCATTCATTCTACATTTTTGTTATTGTTTCTATAAAAAAAAAAAGTTTTGATACTTCAGTCATAAACTTTGCACCCTATTGGAATTATCAAACTTTTGCAACAAACTTCCAGATGCTTACCATATGTTTGGTGCTTTTTGACATTCGAAAATCAGCTTTTCCTTTTCTTTTTTCTTGTAACTCGTCATTTTTTTCCTGTCCAATGTTTCTTCTTTTTTTGTCATTCTTTGGAAGAACAGTTGCTCTACAACCACACATTAAGCTTTGAACAAACTGCCAAGCGATCTGCAGATGAGGAAGGGAACTCGTTGACCAATTAAATCTGCGTACAGCCGTTCATTCTTTCACTTGTCTTTCTCTCACTATATTCTCTTTTAAACTCGTATAGCTGTTCAGCATCCAAAGCTCGCTACTGGCTCTGTCGCTAAGATGCGAAACTTATGTTTTCGATCTAAAAATCTTTTTAAACTTCCAATTTTTTTGTTCTTTTCTTTATTATTTCTCCTTTGAAGATTATCGTCATATTTTACATTCTATACTCCTTGCTACAGTTCCTGATTAGCCACTTACTAAAGTTCACGAATGACGTGATTTGATCATACTGCTACACTAAGCAAGACATCATTTTATTAGAGTAGTATTGCTGATCCATACTATAAGTCTAATCTTTATATCATACGAGTTTCTTATATCTTGCTTACCAATTCTCTTCTGTTTGTCCTGTTAAGAGATTTTCGTTCCACTTCCAATGAGTTCGCCTTTTTGTTATGGGACATGAGACTTTTCTATATGAATGAGTCAGCGTGTCTTCACACCTCCTTTTTCTTGGACCGGTATCGTTGACATTCAGTCTAACACCATTGATTCATAACGGTGTTTGGTTGAGCTTTATTTTAACCTGTATCGTGTATTTTGCTGCTCGACAGGAGATTAAATCCTTTCTAAGACTAGCAGATGCATTCTAGTTAGTTGATCAAAGCTTCATCTTTGAAAACAAACCTTCTACTGTAGTGAGACTTTTGTCTTCTTCCGACCACCCAAAGCATATCTTATTCAAAACTGTACCATGTGTTACTTTGTTCTGTAGAAAAAAATGGTTTCGACCGCTCCTCTCATATAGAAGGCCACCCTCTCTGTCTGTTCAGCGACCCAGGTCAGCCCAGTTCTGGAAAGTCGGCAGCTGTAGTCGGCAAGCAGTTTGCTGAGACGGCGTTCTGTCGGCTAGATTTTCTTCAATTTTAACAGTTTGCTCTTCTTCATCTAAACATTTGTTCTCAAAATTAATGGCATTTTTAACCTTTTTTGTTGTCATTGCGCTAAAATAAAGGAAGCTGAGAGCACTGTTTTTACAGCGTCCTTTTGGCTAACTCGTTGGGCGCATTTGAGTGATGCCAACAAGCAACCGCTTATTGTGTTTGCTCCTCTTTATTTTTTATTCAAAGAATGAACTTCGAACTTGATTTTTCTTTTGTTAGTTCAAATCCCTCTTCTCACTTCCATGTTCTTGATCTGTTTTCTTCCAAAACTTTTTTTTTCATTTTTTTTCAATTATTTTCTATTATTTTTTTATATGCTAATAGTTACTTCCTCTTCAAACGTGTTTTCGTCTTTATCTATCTCTTGAGAGCCTTCTAACATTTTTGTTTCAGAATCTGTGTTATGTCATATTAAGAATACCTATAACTATTATACTCACCAAATCGTTGCACCTCTTCTCAATTCAAAAATAGAGCACTTAAACATTATGAGGTTAGTTACTTTTTTTTAAAGTTTATTGTTATTATGGGTTTTTTTTAAACTTGGCACAGTTCCATTGTATAAGGTTATTCTTTGTTTTATACTTCCATCCGTAGTAGCGTTCAGATTGGGTAGTCTGTTGGCCACGCGGCTTCTTATGGCTTACGCTTATAAATATCGATTGAGTGCTCTCTATCTGAGTCTCTTCATAGGGTGATGATGCTAATGTTTTTGAGAAGATTTACTGGCCCCCCCAATTTTTGATGCGATAATAGGTATCCATACGTACGAAGGTTTAAGTGCAGTTAAACCTCGGGATATTTCTCACTTGTCTTGAGAAATAAAAAAAATTCTCCATCAGTTTACCCCTCAAAATCTAAAATGTTCTCAACACGTGAATCATTCATCATGATAGTGTTTTGAACTCAATACATCTACGAAACCAGGGTAGATAGGGTTGCCACTGTCGTTTTTGGGTATGATGTAGCCTTGAGGATGTGTGATGGTCACCACATTAGCCTATGTAAATACTACAAACCCTCTGTGTATTTCTCTAACATCCCTCTCTTTTTCACATTCTCTTCCTTTCTATCGCTTGCTCTTTGAGTGTTCGGAGAGGGCCTTGCTTTGATTCAAAGCATAGATTAATGAAGGAGCTTCAGAACATTCGAATTAACATTTTTGAAACTCTCTGTCTTGTCTAATATTTTTTGAGCATTATCTGTTGGGCTTTTACGCTCGAAACATTTTCTTGAGTTTGTAATAAACGTCTTCTGTAGAGTACGAACCCCTAGGGAAATTGAAAAGTTGTGACAAGCAATTTTTCGCTTTCTGACCCCTGACCTTGGCTTTGTCCATTTTTTGAAACGTTCAGATTATGTGAAACCGTCTCTTTTGAATTTCAATCAATAATTTCAATCTCAACATTAGTTTGACCAGTCATTCAGATTGCTTCTGTTGAGTAAGATTATTATAATTTCTTTCATTGACTACGGTCAGAGTTGAAATGAGTAAAGTAAACATTTAACCCAAAGGTGTTGCAAGTAATGGTTTACAAACATTATTTGATCCAATTCTTTCAAATATTGTAGTTCATCATTTTCGAAACAACAGCTGCCATCCTGACATAAGATCGAGGTTGTGTTGTTGAATCCCTTGAGCTCTTTCATTGTTGATTCATTCTACACGGCCATTCTTTCAATAAATTTGATATAAGGATACTTGGTTAACCAGATGATACATTAAAATGACTCAAGTTATGTTATGAGCATTGGGCATTTGGGTGCTAATAACTGTATGACCAAAAGATATTCTACCAGTGACTCAACTAACATCTACATCCCATTTATTTATAAATATTGGGAAACGTTTTCTATCTGGATGGCGACTTTGCTGTTACTTGCTGAAAACACAGAATGATTGTGGTTACTTTAGTCTAATCCCGTTTTATTATGTTCATATCCTTTCCATTGGCTTATGTAGATGTCCCTTTTGAACAGTATGGTACTGCTCATTGGATACAGTTTGAGGTTTTCCAAATTGTCTAATCATGTTCTTAATCCCTTATAAACAATGATCGCGAACACAGACACGTCCTCATTCATAGAATATGATTTTCCATGTTAATCTTCCTGAGTTATTACATAATGTATTTCGGTGATTATCCTCTTATTCGTTAATGACCTTACATTGAGAGAACCGAAATTTCACCACTAGCTGTCCCTTAGAAAGAAGCGAAGGCTGGTCCGTTGTATTATTGAGGACGACGGACGACAGCAGAGGCTAGTAGTAGCGAGATGAGGTCCGCCCCTCTCGGGCACGCGATCTTCCATGCGCGTCCATCCTTACTCTCTTCGGTCGACAATTCAAGCTTTGCTAAGTTAAAACATCCATTTCTGCATATTTTTCATGATTTACGATAACTCTTTATTCTGTGATGTTTTGATGATTGTCAATCTGTTTACTTTACTTCTTTCTTACTTTTTCTGTTGTCAGTACCGTTTCATCTCAAAATCTTTTATTCAATCCTGCCAATTTACTTTGTTTCTTCCCAAAGTTTTAGTTTTTTGATTCTTTGTCTCGTCATTTGCGTTGGCGCAATCGACTGTAGACAGTAGTAGTACCTTCTGTCTCCTTCAATTCTATTTGTTTCCGGATTTTCGGAAGGACGCCTTAACAACTATCTTTGTGTCCCTTTTTGATTACTCTATTGGTTCTTCTAATTATTGTCGTTCCACATATTTCTTGGTATACTTCCTATTCTTAACATTTTACTTCGCAGTAATTATGTTGTCTTGTACACCGCGGCCGTACAATACTTGTACGGGAACATCCTCTGCTTGCCGTCCTCGCAGCGGAATCTATCAAACACCGGGAAGGTATAGTTTCCTCGTTGTTCTTATTATATTCCTCTTGTGTATTCGCTTGCGTAAGAGTTATCATATATAACATTGCGAGTATTTCTCATTCTTCCGTCACTTTCTCTATGCCACTTGCAGCTCTTTGAACGTGTCAATCAAAACGTTATTTCTATGATATATGAGTTGCGGCAAAGCCAACTTTTTGCTTATATAAAACGGGTATTGAAACTTGGTTTTTTCATCTGGTATTCTAAACAATAGCGATGAATAGTAGTTTCTGATGTATCTCACCTTCGTACTACACTTTCATGACGTTTTCGCAGTATCGCACGATTCCCTAGCAATTAACTGTTAGTTGGTTGGGAGGTCATGTTATTTTCCCTTCTATAGATCATATCGGATTATCAATTATCTTCGGAAACTGTCATCTGGTCAATAGTTGTTGGATATTGTTGTTTATCACTCTGAGTGCGAATGTACAATAGAATATTGAACGGAAGACTATATCTCAAGCTCGTAGAGTGTCTTTACCTATGACCGTTCTTCATTCGGCTAATCTCTTTAGTGCTGTTGACTTTATCACCGTTGAGATGCTGTGTATCTCAATATGTTGAAAGTTCTTCAATCATCATAAGGCTTCTGGTCTTTTCTTTGCTTTAACTGCGTCTTACATTCCTGTCATCAATGTCTTGTCATTGTTGTGTCCTCTTCGGCTTTGCCAATTTGCATATCTCACAGTGGGTCACCAAGGGGTCATCTAATGAGGATGAGGATGTGCTATGAATGTTGGAGACAGAAGGCTCAATATGGATAATGTGCTATTTTCTTAATAGCACAGATATCGGTGGCCTGATGACCACAAGCTTATGTCACTCCTATTTCCAGTTCTTTATACAACTATTCGAATGTATAGAGAAGAATAAGGGCTGAATATGCAATTTCCGATCTCAAACATCTTCAGTACTGCTGGTACATGTACATGTGCGATCACACATTAGCTTGATGCTTCATCCCAAGAGATTTTCTGATTAGTCTCGTAGTTTTCAAGACAAGTGTATTTGTTCATAAAACTGAGAAGGAATGCGTTGTTACTGCTGCGAGTAGTTTAGGAAGAACGAGACTATAATGGCGCCAGATTCACACGTCAAGAGAAATCTGATTATCTTCGTCGTTGTCGTAATCGTCAATAACGATGTGGTGCAAACGCGTGCTCTCCACTTAACGTTTGATTTGAACATATTCAAGTCAGAAAGTGAGGCAGTTTCTGAAGAGTAACGAGAAGTAGAGTAGAAGAAAACGTGCATGTTGATATTAGATTGTTGCTCTCTGATCTAGTAGTTTTTTGTTTCACGTTGAGAGGATCGAAAATTCGAGGAATTTTTAAGTAGTAGCTTAAGAATTTAGTGAGTGAACCCCAATTTATCATTGTGCTTAAGTAGACATTGCTAAATGAACGCAATAGCTGAAGCATAGATTAGAGATTTCGGCTATAACGACGTTTTCCGATTTTTTGTGAAGCGTTTATTTCGAGAAAAAAAGAACGCAAATCAACCCTCATGAAAGAAAAAAGTGCAGTTGACATTCATGATCTCATGATTCCAATCCTGTAAGCTTCGTTGACTTCTTTTCATGGAGGGAATCAGCTTTCATTCGTATGTTTAAAATGAGATTAGTTCAGCGACTGTTTTAATCCTTTTTTTTCTATTGATATTTGTTTTTGTCGTCATGTTTCTTGGAAAAAAATGGGATCTACCTAGCAATGTCCATATTTGGGTATTGAAAAGCTCGCTAGTCACCTAGCCGACAGGCTATTCTCAAATAGACATATTTGATTGAAAAATTGCTAGATTGGGAATGGAATATTATATATGGCAGAGAAAAAATTGTTTTTATAAACATTTAATGGTATAAAAGTGCTGGAAAATACGGCATGATCATCGAACTGTGAGTGAATGAGTAGATCGTAGCCGTACCAAGATAAACGTGCGATTAAAGGAGTTGATCGAGATACATTGTGACAACTTATGAACAAAATGTTAAAATTAAGATTGTAATCCTTTGGTTTTTCAGTGAAACTACAGTTGCACAAGCTATAGCAGATGTTATGCTATATAGCGAACATAGAAAAGCATGGCATCCTCCTGATGGAACAGATGGAAAGTCTCATGTTCAAATTTTACAACACAATGTGAACAACGGTTTCCGCATTGTAGCTGTTAGTGCACAGGTATGTTATTTTGTGGTTTTAACGTTCGCACCTATCGAGATTACCTATTTATTCAAGTTTTTCTGGTTCATAGAGTCTACTTGTAGTTTTGACACGATGGCTCATTTTTTACACTTCATTATGTATTCCAACTATGGGCATAACTTTTTTGACTGATGTTTTGAGATTCTATGAGACTAAAATTCTTTTATTTTCACATAGCCGGGTTCAGAGATTGAGGATCTATTGAAAACTAATAAGAGATGAGAGAAGATGCGAGAAAGATTGATACTAGTGTGACGATCCTTTATTAGGTTGATACTCCCTAGTTTGAGGTTATTATCCAGTGGAGGGGAATGACACTGCCAGAACCTACCTTTTCGTTTTGAAATCGCTCAATTGTATGAGCCTGTATATCATCTCAGTCATCTCCCTACCATATCCATCACATTGTCACCTTTAAACTGGTGCCTAGTTGGTGCCCTTTCATGAATCCCATTAGGGACAGCCGTTCTGGTTTCCAGTTCATATCCTCTTTTCTCAACGTACCCCTCGTTTTTCATTGCTTCTGTCAAATTTCGTCTGATTGCAAAGCGTTTGTGAAGGACACTTATGTGAAATATGTCATGCGATTTAATTTGAGAAGAAAACATGAAATAGTTAAAATTTTAATTTTTCAGGAAGGATTTTGTGTTCTGAATTGCAATATCCATCTTCGACTTAAGTATCACACAGCTACTCCTACCTTTCACCAATGGCGAGACGAACAGAGGCAGGTGTATGGATTGAACTTTACCTCGGAAGCCGATGCCAATCTCTTCGTTATGGCCATGAGTAAGGTTCAAGAGCTCCTAACCAATCGGAATTTACATGGAAACAGTGAATATCATAGTATACAACACGGTGAGTTGTTTTCTGTTACTTCCAAAAAAGCTTTTCGTCTCGTCAACACGGCGCCCTTTGTCCTCCTTCCGTTTTTCAGTCTTCAGCTATTTTCGGTAAAATTACCACTGAACCCCCTTAGACTCGAAGCTCATTTTGTATACTCTCACGCCTTGATTTTTCTTATTCTTATATTCTTGTTCACTTATCCAATAGTTGGTTTGTCATATCTGAAGAAGTATGTGAAAGCCTTAAGCAGCAGTTAGTGGAAAGTGTGTCCCATATTTTCTACTCCTTCTTTGTTTTTTTTCCCTTCGAGAAGATTAACTCTCCCAAACATAGTCTTCAAAAGTTTATAATCATTAGACTTCTAAATTTCATTTGAAACAGGTTTTCTTCTTTTACTTTCAAACTTAAGAGTTGCTATCTTCTGGCGTTCCACTTTTGAGCCATCTTTCCTGAAGTTTCCTATATTTGCGATGATATTCAAATCAAACTGGATTCTTCGTTTTTGATACTTCCTCCCATTTCCTTGATTGTATTCTACATTACATCTTATTGACAAGGTCCTCTCTATCTTCATAACACCGAAAGACGATTATCTCAGCTCTATTTGAATCTTATAAGAAAAGATATTTCAAAATATTTTGCTTTTTGTCTCCATTCTTGGCTTTTCACATGTCTATAGTATCGGCCCTTTGTTGTCGGCGTGACGAAAATTCGGTAATGATATCTAAAGATATCATTGAGTTGACGAGAAGCTTCACTGGTGGTGCTGTTTCAATATTTCATATGCTGAATGTAATTATTTCTTCAGATAACGTGTATCAAGATCCTCAGCAACATTTGCAACATATACAATCTGCTCCTAATTTCCGAGACAACGATAACTCTCTTCACCCTAGCTTCAGGTAAACATTATCTTGTCTTGTTCTCGAATTCAATATTCTAACTTTTAGAAAGTCTTCACATGCTGTGCAAGGTAACGACTTCATGAATCAACAACAACGGAGGTCCTCCCAAGGATCGAATGCGTCACCAGTGAGTGGCTCGATGAATGGTGGTCCAATGTATCAACAGGTAGCCTTAAAAATTTGTTGTAGTGTTCAAATACAAATTCAGCAGCAACCATTGAACCACCAAACGAGAGCGCCACCAGCTCCTCCAGCCCCTCCCGCTGCAGCTCCTCCACCTGCTCCTCCTCCACCTCCTGCTGGCTTAGCTACAGGGAACGCTCCTCCTGCTCCACCTCCACCTCCACCAAATTTGATGTCTGCTAAGCTCAATGGCGGAACAAGGTTGTCATTTTGATACTAGACTCAAATTATTGTAGTATTTCAGTCTCGTTGATCAGCTGAAGAATGCCTCGTTGAAGAAAACTGGTGGCGTAAAAGAAAACAGATCTCAATCCTTAGCGGAATCAAGTGGGACATCCGCACCACCACCTCCTTCTACATCTAACGGCGGAGGTAACATTTGAAAAAACCAGCATATTTAATTATGTTCTTCAGCACATGGGTGTTTAATAAACGAATTAGCGGCTACCATTAATAAACGTAAAATGAACCAAGCGAAAGCTGATGCTGCTGATAGTAAGTCAAACATTAGCAATGGTTCGTTTGATAGTGTTTCCTAGATTCTGACTTATTTCCTCCTTCTCCAGGCTCATCGGATAGTGGATGTGGTGGTATTCAACCTCCATCTAATGGAGTTAAGAAATGGGAAAGTGTAAAAACGAATGGACACACAGACAGTCCAAAAACTCACAGAAAGTAGGATCAAATCTCAATATAGACCTGAATCTAATGAATTCTTCAGAGTACCCTCTGGGTCATCAATATCCTCTCAAGAGGAAATACCTGCTAAACCCGTAGGGTCAGTAACGGCAGAATACTTGGAAAGGTAGAGTAGCGTCTAAAATGCTTCCCATTTACCAGAGATTTTCAGATTTAAAGCAGATCTCATGGTTGAAGTGCGGCTGGAAATCAACAAAGCAAAACAAGACATCATAGAAGCTTTAAAAATGGAATTATCGAGAAAATAAATGCTTTTAACCTGGACTATAGGCGTGAAGGTGGTGCTATTTCTACTAATTCCGTATTTGTTACTGAACATGCTCTACTGTTGATACACCGTTCACTACGCATTCAAGTGCTCATTGTGTGATCGGCAGGGATTTTAGCCTAACGATGACCACTTTCGTCAATCTTTATATTGAAATCAAGAATTTATATTTTCTAATCATATAGAGTATAGTATAGTAGAATTTACTAGCAGTAATGAAACCTATGTACAGTTTCCTGAAATATTTCTGTTCTCATTGAGGTCTCCCAAGTGTTTTGTCTTGAAATATATTTTCTCGAACACTCATAAATACTCCATTTCTGCAGATCACAACTTCTTCTATCCAAGAAGACTTTTATAAATAGGATTTAGATTTTTTTTTAAATTTCTTAAGTCATTCGACAGTTTTAACTTTCCCACTATATGGTCACCTCAATTTTTTCTTGTTGGACCCAAGACCTCATTTGCTTCTCTTTTCTGCTGCATTGTACTGGTGATTCTGGCTCTCCTTTGTACCCAATGATAATATGATTATATCTTCTAACTATTTACGAATTGTTTTTATGTCTACTCAGTTATTGCCACGGTGATCACGATACTTCATCAATATTGACAAGACATGTTGCTGAAACAGGTCGTCTTACTACGTGGCGTTAATTCATAAATAAAATATTTTCTATGAGACCGTATTGAATATAATGTAAAGAAAACCATTTGATGATCCAATTTGATACTTCGCCATAAATGTGTTCGCACTCACTGATACAACCGCGTCAAGCGTCCTTTCAATTCAAAATGGCGTACTTAGAAATTACCATTTCGATATGATTATCATTAACATGTATATGTACTTGTAGTGCCCTATAATAATCAACTATGATGTATCAACCTCTTTGCATACAATATGTCTGTGCGAACGAGTAGTATGCAGTAGTTTTTGTGACCTTCATGTCCCTCAAAGTATTCAGTCTTAGTTGTGCGTCTGTTTGTTCCAAATTGCCACTTCATGTGATCCACTATCTACTCTCTCCTTCAGCAGTTTAGCTACGCTAAGAGATATTTACAATCAGTTTTTTGAAAAAAAAATAGTGAATACTTGTGCGTTGATCGTTATCGATTACATGACATTAGCCGGGCGTTCTATGCAATCAATACATTTGAAAACTGTGTATAGTAAGAGCGTTTGCTCCAAAAAGTTTATCCAACTTCCGGTGAACTGTTGTAACATGTCAGAGTGAGCAATCGTCCGCTTACTAGCAATATCTTTTGTTTTTGTGCAAAGTTTTATATCTCTTACAGTTTTGTTCATATCACATGGTTCACAAACATACGACTTTCAATCTGCTCACTTTTCTATATAAGAAGCAGTTTCTTTTCTCTCAAGTTATTTTCTGTTTTTGTTGAAGGAATAGTTTTTCTTCTCAGACCTTTGGTTTCCTGAATAAAAGGAAGTTTAGTTGTGAAATATGATAATATGTAGTTAAAATTTGATTTCAATCGCATTCGAACGTTGTTCCAAGTTTTTCAACACTTCGTCATTGTTAGTTTCCTTTGCCCACGAAAGGTTCTCTTTCATACTTTACAACTTCTGCCTTGAACTCTGATTGACTTATCTCTTTCTATGTGATTATATAGCGTTGAGCTTAAAATGATTTATAAGTCAAGTCTCCAATGTAGGTTCCATGATGTTTTTCCATTCTTCATATGCTACAAGCCTTCTAAAATTTCGTTTTTGATGTTTTGTCTGAAATTTCGCGAATATCAAATGGCTCAGATGTTGAGTATCTCAAGTACGACGAAGTGTTAAGACTTCTTGGCTTTTCTGAAATTCAAGCATTTACTTACCTTCTTCCACCTTCGCCATCCCCTTAAAATGAAATTCTGAGCCGAATATCAAGATATGGGGGCGGCTAGTTCGTTTCTTGGCTTTTCAAGTCTCTCATGATTGAACATAATTTCATTTAAAAGGAAAGGAAATAGGAGTTGTGCCATAGGCTATTTCCAAAAAGGTTCCCTCTCTTTTCATCTCGCTATCTCTTTCTCTTTTTGATGTTTCTTTGTAGCAAAAAAATATATAATTAAGTCTTTTTTTTATCTGAACAGGTACTTTTCTGTTTTCTTACTCCTTTTGTTCATTCTGTTTTCCTCATGCTCTTCTATCTGTGAAAAACGACAGATATTGAACAAGGAATAATAGAAAGAGTAGAAGGAAAGCCTTAAGAGTGAAGAGACTTTGCAGCTGTATGACTAAATGGCTGATTGTTTTTCTTTTCAGGATCTCTCAACGTTTAGAATCCTCTCTGAAGTCTACCCAATTTCATTGTTCAAATCTGTTTTGGCCTTTTTTGAAGTTAAAGCTTGATCAGCGAATTTAATCGAAGCTCTCAAGCAGCAAGAAAAACTACTCACTCAAATCCGTCATGGGCTTAATATTCGACAAATCTCTCATAGTTTTTCTGTTATATTTTCTGATAGAGCTGCAAGTGGCTACTTGCTGTTTTCCCTGTGACGAAGTCTTTAGTAAGTTGTTTTGTTTTGTTCGCTTGATAAGAGTATTGAAGGTTTAAAAGATTCGAGGAGACGGAAGATAGGTTCAGACTTCGATTATCTCATGTTAACTCGGATTTATCCTGTAGCTGTATGTCAGGCTGATGATGATGCTGGTATATATTCATCTCATTCAAAACTATTTCTAATTGTTCTCTAGTTGCGGACTCCTGCGAAATACCTGTTCATACTCCCAGTTGGACGGTTCATGGATTATGGCCCAACTTCCAAAACGGTTCATATCCACAGTTTTGTCATGGTAGTCCTCCAACATTCGACATTAATCTCGTTGATCCTATTCTTCACGAGCTATCGTGAGTCATTTGAATGATGCATTTGAATTCTACGTTTCATTTCAGAACCAATTGGCCAAATCTGTTGACGCATCATTCTGTTGAATCTTTGTGGAAACATGAATATGATAAACATGGAACGTGTAGCCAAAGTGATAGCAAATTAGAAACAGAGTTAAAATACTTCAATGCGTGAGTATAGTGTTTTTGAAGGAGTTGCAGAAGACTTTTTTGCAGAACTTTAGCTTTGAACGAATTGTATGACGTGGATCATGCACTTCACTTAGCAGACATTCAACCATCGCTTTATCCATATAGAAAAACCGCTATTCAAGAGGTTTGTTCCTTTATTTGATTGCTAGTAAACAGAGATAGAAGAGAACATTGAATGTCTAACCTGAAATAAAAAAATGTTATTCACTCTCGTATTCCAATGATCAACCGCTTCACGCCTAGCTCGAATCTTAAATGAAATGTGTGAACAGCCTACATCATTAGCATATTTTTTTCAAATTCAATTCGAACTTAACTTAACAAAAGTTGATAATGGAGTAATTTGATCAATTCTAGGCTCTGAATAAATACCTCGGAAAGGGAAAACATGTTCAGTTCAATTGTCTCAAAGATAGGAAGGTTAGTCTAATATCTTTTGTTGGTCGCAAGTTGTTGTTTCTTCAGTCTGGAAAAACCATGTTGGGGGATGTGAGAATGTGCATAGACAAAGACTTTGCGATTGTTGATTGTCCAAAAGAGTATAGTCCAAGATCCATTAGTAGAGGAGCTCCACTGCCAGCATTCCACGTAAAATTCTTTCGAATCGATGTAATCATAGAGGCTCTTTCCAGAAATGTCCGGAAGACATAACCTATCTGTTGCCTCAAAAAACTCATTTGAAATCAGTAGACCAGAGGAGAAGGAAGATTGTGAATATCTTGTATTATTTTAGTCCATTCTTATTCGTCGGAGCGCATCCGTTTTCCTTCCGCCAAAGTATTCCTGCTACGTGAGTTACTTGAAGTCATTATGCATTCATAGCTCTCTGTTTCAGGCTTTTGCTTATGACCGTGGCCATATGTTTGTGCATATTCTATATGATTATAAATCCCCTGTACTTCGATAAGTGTATTCCCGAAGATGATGATGAAGAAACTGAGGAAGCTTCTAATGGCGAAGCAGTTTTCGTTTGATAACAAACACTAGCCCCGAGACATCTATCCCATAATCAAATTTTGAATTTCGGACTAATTTGAATCAAGTAAATTACAGGTATAACTACGGATATTTGTATAATTATTTTTAAAACGTTTATTTGAAACAAAAAAGTTAACGAGTTTAATAATAAATTGTCTCACATAGGTGGCATCATGCCTCCATTCTTATTCTGTCCTTCGAACCATGCCTTCTTGATATTTCTGAAGAGTGATAACTCGGTTAAACAATAAATTACAAACTATACGGACCTCTTCATCTCATCATCACCGGTATCATACATTTCCTTCATCATGTTCATGAGGCTGGCTTGGGGATCGGCTGATTCGTCCATTTTTGGCCTGCTTCAAAGAAGTTCAGTTAAGATCGATTTCTCAATGAACAAACTTTTTCTCCTTGTCGGCGTGTTCCAGTTCGGTCAAGGTATCCCAGTTCTGAGCGTCTTTTTTGCGGAGCATAATGAGCAGGTCATCGGTTTTTTGCTGAAATCGAAGAGTCTGGAAAGTGAGTACGGCACGCAAACCTTGATCTGAGAGGATTCAGGGATGATCTCATTCAAAAGTCCCTTCTTTGAAAAGCAGTAGTTCATGTTGTTCAAACCATTAACAATTACTTCGCACTCTCTTAAGACAAAAGTACATTTCGCTTAACCTGTAAGCTGTACCTCTTTTGGAAGTTTGTGGTAATGTTAGCGGCAGGAACATCTTGAATTCCCTTCAAAGGGATGTACAACTTGACGAACTTATCAGATTGATCCATAGCTAAGAAAGATGATCAAGATTATGTGATCCGAAAGTTAGAGAGTTACCATAGTTGGTCAATCTAGAAGTGGCAAGAAGAGCATTGGTAGAAACAACACTAGGAGTAGAAGTCTTTTGTGCGGCCTAGGAAATGGAACAGTTATATCCAAAATGAAATGACGTACAGTCTCTGATGACTTCTTCTCAGTCAATTTCTTTTCTAACTCCTTGATCTTAGAGTTTAAGAAGGTCTGATTGTTAACACGAGTGGCCTGAGCCTTAAGACCTTGCAACTCTTTCAAATCAGCTTCAATCTTAACTTGTTGTTATGTAAGAGATAAAGAAAGAAATAGCTAACCTCAGCAACAGACGACATGATCTCTACTGAAATGATAAAAAAATAATAAAGGATAATAACGGAAAGACAAAGAATATAAATTAATACGGCAATAGGAGCTGATCCCAAAGAATACGAAGTAGGCGGAGCATGGAATGTTCTAGAGGACCGCAAACTTTTCGATTGCCGCTGTGTATTTCACAAACTGATCAAATACATTGTAGATTAATAACTGTACAGTAATAAGAAGTAATTATCAAAGATTTAATACATATACGCTCTTTATGTCACGGAAATTTGAAAAAAATATAATGTAAGTGAAGCTGAAGACGAAGCAAACTCCCTTCGTGTTTCTTTGAAAAAAAGAAACGAAAAGAGTCGCAACCCGATAAAACGGAACTTGTAAAACATATTGAGAACTGACCTCTCTCATATATGGTCAAAATATAAAATATTTCAAAGAAAATACAACAAAAAAACCTTTGAAATATGCTATAACATAGATCCTGAGAGGAGGAAAAGCTGCGCTTTCAAACTCAAGCACCTGGAGGAGAAAAATATTGAAAGAAATGTACAAGAAAGGAATTACGTAGGATGACAATCGAATGACAAAACCTGCACAATCTTTGACAAAAAACGTATAGAACAGCTTAATTAATGAGAAAAGAGAAATTCATCATATTCGTAGGAGTATTAGACTACCAACACGGCGACAGTCTTAGATAGATCAACGGGGTTTTGGACTCATGTTTTGGGCAAAAAAAAGTTTTAAGGCTTTGTAGAGAAGCATTATTACAAAAATATTGAAATAAATATAAAATATTATGAAATGACCTAAGATGGCTAATAATATTTGGATATAACTTTACATCAATCTATTCGCGATTGAGTTCAACAAATTCTCAGAGGCCTAGTCTGAAAATGGAAATTGAGCATTGCCATTGTAAGCTTATCCTCTCACCTTTTATTTACATCAGACTGCAACATCCTTTACTTTCTCTAGCTTTATTTTGGATATAATTCATTTCTCGCACAATCTCAGCAAACGTCACATTGACATTCTGATGATTTTTTGCTGAGCATTCCGTGAAAGGGCAGTTCCAGAATTCGGCTGTAAACGAAAGTATGAGAACGGAGAAGGATCAACGAACTGACCTAATGCTAAGCCTTCTTCTTGTCTTACTTGCCTCTGATGGGCTAAATCACATTTATTACCGACCAATAGGATAGGAACCTGCTCAGTACCCTATAAAACAAATTTATATCATAGATAGAATACTAGCTAGTGATCCCACCTTTACTCTGACTATTTGTTCTCTCATAGTTTTAATGTCATGGAAAGTCTGCTGACTTGTAATTGAATAAACAACAACGAAACCCTTAAAAACGAACTATTAGCTTCTTGGAAGTCAGAAAACGCCTAACCTGGCCATTTTTAATGTATAAATCTCTCATAGACGAGAATTGCTCTGTTCCTGCTGTATCCAAAATTTCCAAAACACAAGGCTGTCCATCAACCTGAACAAGTGAAAGTATGAAAATGCTGTAAAGATACAAATTCACCTCAATTTCTTTCCTATAGAAATCCTCTATGGTTGGATCATATTTTTCAATGAAAGTTTGACTAACGAACTGAACTGTCAGGGCACTTTTACCAACTCCGCCACTTCCCAATACAACAACTTTGAACTCACGCATCTTAAAACAAATTCAAATAAGAAACACGACAAGATGGAGAAAAAAAGTAAAAAACACAGCACACAAGACAATCGATACAGTCAATTAAAGTTGATTCAAGGATTAAACATTTAAAAAAAAAACTGAGACTCACCAAACGAGACATTTCTTTATTTAGAAGATGGTTAGAAATTTGGAAAGGATAATGAGGAGTAGTTTCAGGAATCTTTCGTGGCTAATGGAAAGCAAAAGAAATGAGAGTGTAATGAGCAGCTGAGCATCATTTTTCCTTCAACAGAACAAGGGTGGATGTGGCATATGTTTAAATTAAAGAAAGATAGGAAACATTCATAAACTTCTTCCAAAAAGGAAAGAAAACAAGGGGCAAGCATGACTGGACAAGAACGAGACCTGACTGAAGGCGTATGTTGGAAATACAAGTCTTGTAAACAAAATAATTTAAATTTTATAGCCGTTCAAACTATGAAAGGAAGACGAATGTTAGCATAAATCGTATGTTTCGTGACTTGATAGATCGAACATATCAATTTTTCTCTTGCTTTCTGGCTTAAGTTTTAATAATTGTTTATCTAGAAAAACGATCAAGCACAGAGAAGATATATTAAATGAGGAATTTGAAGAACAGCAGGATACAAGCATCGGAAATAACTGAAAAAACGGAAAACCGGACCGGAGACGTGGGAATGAAAGTGTCTTCGACAGGCAAATTGCGTACTTCCATATGGACGCTTGGCGACGCCCTCGTAAGTACGGAATGAGGACGTTGAGTAGAGGAGAGGGTGAAGGCTAAGACACTCAAAGAGAACTATAACTCGACCTGTAGATACATAGAGAAGAAACAGATTGCAAGATATGAACAGACGATATGTTGACCAGCACGGATATCGAATGACTACAAGGGGAAGAACATGAGCTTTTCTTGAAGACTATTCGCAAGGTCTGAAGAATATGGCAAAACATCTTTTCAATTAAAACCGTCTGGCTGTCTTGACAGATTACATAATTGTCCATTAGACTAGAAATAAGTATTTCCAAGTCACAGGACAATTAATTCAATTTTAGAGCGATTTGTTTTTTGGTTTAACTATACGTAAGATAACCAATTGAAATATGGTCTATTGAATAGTGTAGCCTGAAGGCAATACAAATGAAGGAACAGTAGCAGAGTCGTGACCGAAACGGGGAATGAGTTCGTTCATACCCGCAAGTCGACTTAGAGACTACACAAGACCGGTTAGAGCACGAGGCTCAGACACTTTCCTGGTCTCTCTGAGAAAAAAAATTATCTGATTTATTCCGTTAATGTCATAGTTAGGGAAAAATCAGTTTTTCTTCCTCAAAACTGACGTAGCTGTGAATGCAGTTTTAATGAGTAAAGAGAAGCATGGAGAAAAGCTAAGATAACATTTCACGCGAAAAGGTGAAAACTGGTCTGGGCCGGAAATCAGGATTTGTCGATTGAACTGAAATATTGTGCAAACGAAATGAATCCTGCTCAGCTTAGAACTTGGACAATGGCTGGACGACGGAAAAGCGAACATTACATGAATGTTGAGAGATCGTTGGCGGATGAGATGAAAAAAATGAGTGGCAAGAATGAGTACAGATGCATGACGTGTGGAAGAATAACATAATATAAGCTTGATAGTGAATTCGCTTGATGAAGTCCTCGGAATCAGCATAGACAAAAAGAAATATGGAGAAAGCTGCCATTTTTCCCGCTGTGGCAGATGAGGTGGGGGACATATAAAGATGAACCGGTTCACCAGAAATCAGCCATATGTGGGAAAACTGAGACATAGCTGAATGGTGGTTGATTACCTTAGTCACAGCAACTGTCAAGATATAAAATAAATAGTCATAAAGTAAATTTGAAAACAAGTTCAAGATGAAAACAAATGACTGGAGAGGCAAGCGGCAGATCCAAAAAGAAATTTTTCACGAATAAACATTATTTTTGCACATTTCAGAATTCTAGACAGCTGATGAGAGAGAAGCATAAATGGGTTTGATTGTTTTATGTTCGTTTTCACGCTGGAAGCTTTTCTCTCATTTGTTATGGTGATTATGGCTCAGCGTGAGAGTGCTTGAAACTGTTTGAAACATCTGTGTTGTTAAGACAGATGTGAAAAGATGATCTTCTGGAGAAATAAGGAAGAGGTAAAACTAGAAGAAATACAAAACAATTCAAACATAAACTAGTACTCTCAAGATATTGAGAGAAAACAACCCAGTATATGAAAGAAATATTAAAAAGGTGAAGAAGAATGAAAGGTGATTGATTCTTTCAGGAAAAAAAAGGATAGAAATCGGAGAGAGAAGAGCAAGAAATAACTAATAAGAAGTGGAAAAAATAGATGAATGTTAGAAGATGAGACAGAGAACACTTAACTACCTTCAGACTACCGGCTTTTGCCCGGCTAATTGCTCTGAAACAACAACTTCTTCTCGCGTCTGAGGCGTATGAAAGGAACAAAAACTGAAACTTCCATACTCCTTATAAGGCCTATTGAACACTATATTTCAAAAGAAAGTACATTTTTTACGAAGCTTCTCCTTTTTGATCTCGTGGAAAGAGTATAAGCGAAGAGCAACAAAACGATGTCCTTCATCTGAACCTTTTCTTTCTTGTCTTCGCCTACTAACAATCATGAAAGATTACTATTTCAGTTTTCTCATGAGGAAATGATCAAAGAGGGTAAGCTGAGAAGGTAGCGGAAAGAGAACAGAAAAAAAAATTTTCTGAAGAAGATGCTGCATGAAAATGGAGTACGTTAGACTATGGCATGAACGACTGGAGCCGTTCCGAAAGAACAACAAATCGGAAAAAGATTGAATAGCTGAAAGAGAGAGGGAGAGTGAGAGAAACAAGATGAAGACGATGACAACGAGTGCTGAGGTCGCTATTGCTGATGCTTGAATATGAAGAAGGCCAGCTGTTGAATCAGGGACAGATCGATCAAGAATCAGCCCTAATATGGTATGATAGAATCTCATGATATAGCACTAGTCACAAAGTCAAATGTTAAAATTGTAAAAATGACGAATAAAAAAAAGGATTTTTCGTTCGTTTTTTATTCTTTTTTTTTTTCATCATCTCCATTCTCATCTGTGACTATGATTTGTATGAAATGAAGCGCAGAAAGGTCAGTGAAGACGAATCATCAACAGCAAATCAAAAAGTTATTCAAACTCATCACACATCCTATCCATATAATGAGGAAAGTTATGCAATATATATATATAATATATATGTGAATAACGAATGAATTCAGTTGAACAAGCTAACCAAAACTCATCAGTAATAAGTAAATAATAACCATATTGAAATTCACAGCAAAATGAAAAGGTAAACAAAAGAAGTCCAGTACACAAACATATTTTTCCAATAACTCCAACCCAAAGAGAGAGATGTCCGAAAAAAAGGCGTACAATTGTAAGAAAGAGTGTGAACATAAAGCCAATATTAACCGAATAATCTTAGCTTTTGACTCAAAGCTTTCAAATCCATTTTATTAGAAAACTGGCGAGTGTTTCCGAAACAAAATGCTGTTCAATACGAGACACACACATACACACACACCCATATACGCATACACAGACTCAAAATACATTCAAAATGGAATTTGAATAGCTAAAGGTGATAAATGGAAAGAGATGGTTAAAAGAAATAAAAGTGATATTAAAAAACAAAGTGTGTAAAGAGAAAACAACCGACTCGTGACGCCGATGGCGTGAAAATGAAATTAGAATCATCATCAATTGCAATATAAAGGTAATTAGCATAAATTCAAATTGATGATGCGCAACGTGTGAATGCTGCTGGACATGAGGAGTGATAAAAGCTAATAAAAAACAGGAACTATCAGTTAGAATAATGAGAAATGAATGATACATGAAAACAAAATGGAAAAATGTCCTTGAAATGTATTATTTCTTCATGAAACGAACAGAAAAACTGATGATGAGCGAACGGATGACTAAACGAAGTGCTTCATTCTTTTCTTGGTCTCAAGAAGTTGACGATAACAACGAACACAAAAGATAATGTTCAACAACAGAATCTGGCAAGAGCACGAAAGAGCTTGTAAGCGATGGAAAGAGGAATAGATATCTTTCTCTACTAAATAGTCAAGTGGCGTTGACCCACAACATATACACAAAGCCATCGAATAAAAATGATGCGGATAAACGGTTGATAGAGAAGAAGAAGCAGCAGAAGAGAGAAAGGAAATTAGGTTGATACTATGAGAGGAGTCAAAATGATAGAGGGAAAGTGGGAGAGAGTAAGAGAGAGAGAGAATGAGAGATATTGACCATAAAATCTTAAAAAAGCCAACTCGATAGGACAGTCCAACTAACAACATAGTCCAAAACTATAGAGATCTCGAGAAAAAAGTGTGAATTTTACAACACTCTTCAACACATTTATGACTAGGACCAGCTGCTTGATAGGTTCGTTTCGTGTTTTTCTTCTGATGCTTCATGAGGTGTCCTCGCTAAAGCTCTTTCTTCTTCACATTTTTTGCAGATGATCCGCTTAACGATGACGAAGTTTAAATAAATCAAATGGACTGCACAGTTTACAATTTGAACTCAAAAGAGAAGTATATGATGTGTTTATACGTTCACGAATATGATATAGATAGAGTGGGAGGAAGAAAGAAGAAAGAACCTTGAAGAAGAATAGAGTTACAAAATGGGGAAATCCCAAAGGGTTAAGCTGTACTCTCTACAGAATCATAAAATCTGAAGCAAGGTTCCTTATAATGGTCACAAAATAAAGATTAATGAGAATATGATATTTGTATATTCTGTGAATGAGAGAAGGATGAGAAGAAGAAGAAGACGAAGAAGAAGAAGAAGAATGAGATTAAGACATTCAGTTTGACTAGCAATGTATTTCTTCGATAAAAAAAAACATGGCTTCTCGCTTGACAAATCTGAGTAAAAACGGAAAACGAAAACAATGAAGCAAAAAAATATAATTCAAACGAAAGAATAGCCGCTTCCAAGCAGACTTTTCCAGATTGGAAAGAGTTAAGCGAGAAAAAAAAAGCTGAGAAGAAGAAGAGAATGAGGAGAAGAAGCCGGTCAAATGTTCCAGAACTGCCCTTACGCTCATGATATCAGACGAACAAACAATAGAAAGTTTATCGGGTTTAAAAAAAGAGAGATTGGAAAATAAAAGTGATGCTGGAAGAGAGACAATGAGATACAGAAGGAAGAAAGAGAGTGAGGGAAAGAGAAAGAGAGAGAGAGGGGAAGACGAGAGCACTGGCTAATTGACCACAAAAATTTAATTTTAAGAAGAGAAAAAAGGAACAAACAAAAGCAAATTGTTAACCATACTTGTGGTTGTTGAGAACAGAAAAAACCCAAAAAATTTTCTTTCCAAAGAAGGGACAGAATTTTTTCGGAGGAACGGAAGATGAGTTGGAATTTTTCTTGAATTTGAGAAAGAAAACGAAAGATCTCGAATACATTGTGACTGTGAGTCGCACTGAACAAACATCGGGCTAAGCTGATAATTATTTTGATAAAATGGATAAATATTAAATGCGTTCGATGAGAAAAAATTATGTTGGTAGGTGTATGTGGTGGAGATGGGGAGGGGGGGGGAGTAGTGGAGGAGAACATGTTTGGAGATAAGCTTATCAATTCCTAAAGGAACTAGTATTGACTATCATCATTAATCTCGTAGTTATAGACGAATCAAGAAAAGAAAATTAATACTTAATTCAAAATATTGACTTTCGATGTGCCATGTGAAAGGTTTTCAATGGAAATGTAAAATGATATTTATGGGGAAACACTTAACGAGGTTCATGAACTCAACAGCAGGAGAGATATAGGAAGATATGCTGGTAACGAGATAGAGAAGAAGCAAAAGTGAGAGAGCGAACACAGAGTTGAAGTCATATAGCGAGAGAAAACCAAAGGAAAGAAAGCTACATTTAATTATTCATAGAGTCGAAGAGAGACAGGATCGCCAAAGTCCATCATGTAATAACACAAACGATCTTTGATTGGAAATTGATTGATGGGGAAGTTAACAAAAGAAAACCTAATATATTAATATTTCAATCAAAGATTTCTAAAAAAGATAATTTTTCAACTTGGCGACAACCCAGTGAGTATCTCCATCAGTTGTGCAATGACATGAAGTCTCCGTTGAATTCGAAAAAAAAGGTTTGTTCAAAAGCTTCAACTACGACACAAATAGCAAAAACGAATAAGACGACAAACCACAAGAAGCAAATCATTCTCAAACAAATCCTTACAATTCAACTCGTATTTGGCGAAAGTTAAGGGACGACTGGGAAGACTTCCAGAAGTAAGTTGGTTAAACGTCTCGATTAAAGGAAATTATCTTTGACATTGATCTGCCCCCAGCTAGAAAGTTAAGTATCGTTCATTTCGTTTTTCATATATAATTCGAATTCAAACAGTAACAGTCCAGCCAACTACGAGTTTTTCGATCCTACGATCATTTTGAGGTCATCACATATAAATACATGATGTGCTAACTGTGAAAAGAAAAAGGACAAGCCCAAAAGATTGAGTGATGGCGTGTCAATTGAAATTTTCCAGAAGGCTAGAGGTCAGCTGTCAGCCGATTTATTGCCAAAAAAGTTGTTCAAGCATAATCAAATGGAAATAATAGAGTCGGATGAACGAAAGCAAAAATATATGATAACTGTTGTATTAGTGAGAAGAGAAGAGACAAACACAGTTACCATTAGAATAACAAAGGAATTTTTCATCTTCTCTCTGTATGCAACTGTATTCTTTATTCGACTATGTTTGCTATAGTTCAAATATGGTAATTACCAGGTCAAATATTGAGCTGATGACGAAGAGTATTGAAGAAGATGATGTCTCGTCCATTCTCTTCGTTACTTTGGTATGTCGCTCACTTAGGCCGATAGACCAAAATGCACGACAACCTCGCAGATTGTTGATGCGACGGTCTATTGGATTATGCTAATTAGCCAAGACCTTGTTCAGTAACTATTGTAGGCTAAGAGAATGTTGACAACCCTAGATACGATTCAATTAAAGTGTAGCTAAATTGGTTGGACTAAACTAAGTTCTTTCGGGATTACATTGAGGATGAGCAAAAGAAAGGCAGTGGAAATAACATCACACGAGGAAAAAATGACAATATTGCATAAACATAAACATAAGTAGAGACGAGTACAGAGTACAGATACGCTAGGTCAAACTCCAAAAGGATTAGCTTGCACAAATCAGTTTGAGAGGTCAAAAAATAATCAATGCTTCGACTAAATAATCGATTTCTATAATTGAATTCATGAGAATAGTCCATTAGAGAGATTCGATGTAAAAGACGTGGTGGGCGTTATTAATGCTTATTAATCGCAGGAATGAAATGAATTTCTATAATTAATAAGGTGTGAAAGAACTTCTAATTGAAAGGGAGAACGAGAGAAGCAACCGTTCTGCACGATGATCAACGATGAAAATGACTAAATCGCTACATTTCTCACGTACGTGAAAATTGTTTTATGTTAATAAGAAAAGTAAGTAGCAAACATGGTTAGTTGAATGAAATGAAAGTGCTTTGGCAGTTACTTTTCAGTTTTTCAAACTTGAACGAGTTGTAAAAGTGTTTCATATGAGAAAGTGAATGTATGGGTGCGTCTCCATCAGTTATTCTCACTAAACGAAGTTCGTTTAATCTCAGTTTCGTCCTTGGCGGTCAGAACATTCATCACTATTTAGCGCCTAGTCCACTGATATACCCTTTTTAGCAGTAAAAGCAGATGCAGAAGACAACAGAGTGAAGTTTCGCTCTTTATATCAAAGCGGAAGACAGATGCTTTGAAATCGGTGCCTTCCTAGAGTATAGAGTACAAGGTCAGCAAAGTATATAGGCAGAGTCCAGAGTTAAATAGGAAAGAAATGGGAAGTTCACTGCACCTTTTTAGGTATTCGACAAGCTTTATTAAGTGTGAGGTTTTATACAGATATATCCAACTATCGCCATAGAAGCGATCAAACCGTATTCTCAGTTCAATAATCAGACGAAACAGTCATAAATACTATTTGCGGTAACTACCAATAGTTTACTTCTTATAAATTAAGTCATAGTGGCCTGGGCGGTACAAAAGTGTAATCTGAGGATCGTCTTCCTTATCAGGAGGAAAATCGTAGTGCCATCCACCATTAGGAGCAGCAGATTGGTCCATGTACTCAACGCGAATAGCACGGCCTATACGATTGGAGAATGAAGCGTGATAAGAAAAACACAATTTTACCAATGGCATTTACTAATCCAGTAACAGCTATGTGATCAGCATCCTTCCACATAACTTCAATTTCTATTTGGCAATATTCAGAAAGATTCTTATATGTATCGTCAATGAAAGGGGTATATTCATCTGAATTTTCCTTGAGATATCCAGATGTAATCAGTCTGAAAGAAAAATGAAATTGAATATAGCGAAATGACTTCAATACCTTAAGAAAAGAATGAGATAATTCGCATGTCCGTCATCACTGAGCTCATCAAAGACTTCAGTCATGGTCTTTTCTGCATTCTTGATTGGTGTCAACCACTCGTAGAACTGAAAGAGGAAGTTAAAAATATATTTGCTTTTCCTATGCCTCACATATTCGCAAAAATCGGCGGTAGTGAAATCTGGGAAACCCAAATCCATGAGGCGTTTCTGCCATCCTTTACAAACTGTTTCAAATCTGGAAAACTGCATTACTTCTCTGTTTTCTCTGTAAAAATACCTATAAAGCTCTTCTTTGCTTTTATACATTAATTCTATTTCAGCCACCAACAGAGCCCGGTAAAAACAATTTCCATCCCGTCGCATTTGGCGGATATCACAATAGGTTTCAGCAAGTTCCTACAATTCCAAAAGCAGTTGGAGGGAAATCGGATTGTTATCAACAATGTTCGTGATTGGAACAGAAATTCGCATTAACGTAGAAAAACATGTGGACGTGAGCTACATCTCGACTTAATTCAAAAAAAAAACTTCAAAAGGAATGCTTGTTCTCATTCAGGGAACTTATAAAGGAAAAAGAATAAAACAATTACAAGCTATGCTCAAACTCACTTTTGCCTTGTTGTGATATTCTTTGCTTGTTTCCGGATCATATTCAATTATGAGAGATTCAATGGGAATTTTATCACCAATCAAGGGGTGCACTTTTTGCTGAAATTCTGGCTGTTAATTGAACATGTCACCCGCTGTACCTCTTCTTCGATTTGTTTCAGTTGTGCGTCATTCAGTTCGTTCTGCAGCACAATCTCATTATCAACTTTAGCACATTCAGCTTCAATATCAAAAACATTAACAATCGAGCCCTTGAAGTTAAAATTAACCTATGTTCGCGTCCTCAGTGTTTTCAGTGGCGGTAGGTGGAGCGTCTTTTATATTATGTGAAGCTGTGACTTCCGCGCCGGCTTCAGTGCTAGACATTCTCTGTTTCTTTCTGAACAATTAAATGTTAATAATGTGTAGAGAGCAATAGTAAACTTTAATCTTCTGAATTTATTTTCCAAATGGTATTTCGTCCGCAAAATGTCGTGCGTGCACACAAACTTCACGAATTCACGTACAAGGTGCTTTAGCCCACGTCATTCTTGGTATTCACTCCCTGCAAGGCGCTTCTGGTCTTCTATCTAATAAAATCGATTCTGCATGAAACTGTCGTTGTAGATACTTGAAGTTTCAGTCAACTGCAATGTTTTTCAAAGTAGCTTTTATTCTACTTATCCCTCTTCTTTGAGTTATTGAGGATTTCCAATGTAAATTTCTTATCTAGTCGTGTAAATCAAACATTGAAAAAGGCCTTTTTGCCGTGAAATTATTTGTTCATAGGGGTGCTTTGTGCAACTCTTGTTGTTTTCTCATTTGATCGCAACGTTGTGTAACAGACATCATTCTCATTCGAAGTTTAAATTGGAAAAGAAGAGAGTCATGTCCTTTGCTACTTCGTATTTCTGATTGATTTCATTTGATCTCATCACTCCCTCCATTGAAAAATCAGCCCGATTGCACTTTTATGCAAATATAAACCTACTACATAACATCATATTATATTGTTTCGAAATTTTTTGTGTTTTATATGGTCATTGTTTTAGTCTCCTACTTTTCGGGCCTCGAGTAACTTCTTTCTGAACCGGTTGTCGTCCTCTCCCAGCTACTGTTCCAGCTTTTCCTTTCCAACTAGAACATTAGTTCTTCCTGTTTTCGAATCTTTACCATTTCAGTAATCTTTGTTTTTATTCTTATCTTATTTTAAATTTATCTTCTTTTGAAACGTAAGCGCAGCACGTTTGACGCACTACAGTGCGTCACCAAAATCTCCTCTTATCTCGTTTGTGACCTCATTATCTCTTCAACTTACTGCTATTCTTATTCAATTTCAATTCAGCATCAGCGTTTTTCAGAATTTGTTTCAAACATGTTACTTGACTGATTGTTAGTGTTTATCGGGTTCCTTCACACTCATATCAACAATCATTCCAACAACGATTGCGGTTCCATTTTGCCTATCAGCTTCAATCATGTGGCGAACTTTTCTCTTACTTGTTACCTTTCTTGTAGCTAATATTGATGGCGAAGGATATTATTGCTATGGCGATGGACCTGTGAACAACGATGTTTGATTTTTCTTTGCTAACAATCTTTTCAATTCCGTTTCAGATACAACCTTGCAGGTTTTTTGCTGCAGTAATTGATGCAGGGTCTACGGGCACTAGATTACATTTATATCGTTTTGTTATGAACCAAGATCCTCATGGATTGCCTATGTTAGTAGAGGAAGAGACATTCCAAGAGGTTTTATTGCTGCTTGTGTGCTCACCGTATCATTGATACTTAAGGTTAAACCAGGGCTATCTTCTTTCAATAACGATCCTAAAGGAGCAGCCCTCTCTGTTAGGAATCTTGTCAAAATCGCTCAAGATGTAGTACCTCATTTTCTTTGGGAAAGGACTCCAATTACATTGAAGGTATTATTCAGGCTTTTGGCAAAAGATTAATATTCTGCACTTTAGGCAACTGCTGGTCTGCGTCTGCTTCCAGGTGATATGGCAGACGAAATTTTGAGCGAGGTGAGATTGGAAGTTGTCTCATATAAAATTTATAACATAGGTTGAATATGAACTCAAAGAAAGCGGTTTCCATTTAAGTCCAAACTCTGTAGCTATCATGAGTGGCTCAGACGAGGGAATGTATAGTTGGTTTACATTGAACCTTCTTCTGAACCGGTTATTTTCAAGTAATTATCTTAGTTTGACGAACTTTGACGTTTCGTTTCTTCAGATGATCCTAAGAACCCTACAAAGCCTCAAGCTACAAGTAGTGTCGCCGCTTTCGATCTCGGAGGTGGATCAACCCAACTAACCTACTGGCCTTCCTCAGAAAGAATTTTCCACATTTACCCGGGATATGAGAAGGCAATTGACTTCTTCGGTCACAAGATGAAACTTTTCACGCATAGGTTTGTGCAAGAAAGTTTTCCTTGTTAAGGACATGTTTTAGTTTCTTGGGAAATGGTTTGAATGCCGCTCGCCTTAGTGTTCTTCTTCAAGTTTCGGACATTGTTTCAGCAGATCTTGAAGTGAGTGAAGTGATCAAGGCTCCATCAAATCAGAATATGTTTTCAGGATCTAGATATGCTTCTCTCTCATTGTTTCCCAGAATCTTATGTCTTACCAAATTGGCATTATGCTCTTAGGAACTGGAACATCAGGTACTTGTTAAGTTTATGGTTCATAGTATAACATCATTTAAAGTGGAACTAGTAGCTACTCATTCAAAGCATGTTACGAGTCGGTCAAGCTGTTTGTGGAACGTAGCGAAGTAATGCTCTTAGAAGGTAACGTTCATATGTGTTTTCTTACATCATTCCTTAACGTTCAGATTTGAAAGGAAAACCTGTTTATCTGTTTTCTTACTTCTATGATAGAGGCTCAAATGCTGGATTAGTCAAGAACAATACGGGTGGATTGGTGAAGTTGTCTGATTTCAAAGAAGCTGCCGAAAAAGGTTTTTGAGCTTGGATGTGAATAGCATACTGATTGCATGTTTTCAGCTTGTCTCAGAGATGCTGATGAACTAGACGGAACTCATGTGCCGCATTGGTATCCATGGTTATGCCAAGATCTAACCTACATTTACGCTCTCCTTCATGACGGTTATGGATTCGATGATCAACAAGAACTTTTCGTTAGTTTTTCGGAGATCATATGATTTAAATAACGTCTCCTTTTGGTTCAAACTGATAACAAAAATCTTTGTTTTTGAACATTATCTTATCTTCTTGAACAAAGACTGTTTATTTCAGCTGGCGAAGAAAATCAAGGGAATGGAAGTATCATGGGGCCAAGGATTATCGTATGCGCTCGTCAATGAATTCAATGAGTACATGAGCTACGAGAATCCACAGAAAGGCCTGAATGAAACAGTAGTGGAGCAAATATGGCATTACGTCTATTTGGGCACAAACAATATAATCACGTACTTCAGTCTTCTTTCAGGATTTGGAGGCGATTCTTAAGTTTTTTTTCTTTTAATTTCATCTGCATGTTTTTCATTTTTCTTGTTAACTTCTTATATTCATATCGTCTCAATTGATATATCAGCTTTATGAGATTTCTAACTAACACGTCGGGTAGTTACACAGGCTCTTCCTGTGCTTATGCTTAACGAGGAATATTGGTTTTGGACGAAGGGTATTTTTATTTTCTTGCCTTACATGCAGAGTTACTAGAAACTAATTTCACAAATTTTTATCATTTTTTTTTCTTTCATTCTCTATATCCCATTTTCTCGTGCCATAATAGATGATGCTAGATTTGTTATCAAACTTGTTTTCTATCCAACATCTGTGTTATCCACTCACTTATCCCAACCTAAATTCCTTGAAAACCAAAAATTAATCTATTTTTAATAAATTTATACTTGAACGAGGTAAACATGTGTGACACGCGTAAAGATAATTGCCGAATTCATCTACTCATTTGAGTGATTATGGTATTCGCCAAAGAATAAAAAACAATCTCAACCCGATTAAAAATTTATTTGGCTGGCTCCATTCCTATATTGAATGAACTTTTAAGGATCATAGCTGACGACGAACAAGATGAAACTATCTTTGGAATGCAACGGACTTTCCATCAAATGGCGAAATATGCTGATCGCTTCTCGTCAAGCTTTTGGCCAGCGATTGTAATCAGCACAATAAGTCATTCTCATCAATTTATAATAATGAACAATTTTCTCTTCTCTCCATATTGGGCATTGCCTGTAAAATTGATTTAAATCTCTGATGCTATAAGAGTCTGTTGAAACAGCTTTGAAACTAGTTTGCTTGGTCTAATTCAATACAAAACCGTTTGCTGACTAGCACAGCTGATGTAAATATGATTTCTATATGAAACTAAATTGAATTACCGGTATTCTATGATATTCACAGATTCTTGGTCGGGAGACGCAATATTGGAGATGCAATACTGTCTTTGCTGTTTCGTCAATTTCTTAATTAATCTTGATAACCGCTGTATTTGGTTCTTTATGCGACGAATAACCTGAAAATAGGGACTCATTACGACGTTTTTTCGGAACAAAACCTCTTCAGGCAATTTGTCACGATTTCCCATACATTCTTCGATCTCCGAACTATCCTGAAATCGATTGTAGCTAATATGCTAATGAGAGTAATCAATGCTTCATTGGTTCATTTGCCTTTACTCTCTCGTTCAAAACGGTTGCTCACGTTTTAATCATTTCTCTCTTAAGGGGATTATTGAAAGAGATTGTTTGTTCTTTTTTATTCAAAACCGATAATGTTAAAGCTTTTAAATAAATGTCGTTCAGAGATAAAGGAATTGAGACACAACGGCATCGACATCAGCTGTCTCGAAATGTCAAAAGAAAGAAGTGCTTAAATAAAAAGGGTTTTCGTGAAAAAAAGATGATTTCGTATGTGTATTCTCGAGTTTGAGGGAAAATCATGTTTCAAACATCAGTCTCTTACCTTCATTTGGGATATTTCAGAAGCAAAGTCATCTAAGTTTTTGGTATATGTGATGTTCAAATCTTCGTCTAATACATCCATACCAATCTTTTCAATTGGAGCATCGAGTCTTTCAACTGGAAGACATAAGTGTCTATCAAGAGTAATAACAACTCTGATTACCTTCAAATGTTTTGTAGAAAATGGTTGGCGGAATGGTTGTGATGGGGGGATTTGTAATGAGAGGTAAACATCCATGATGGGGGTTGTCTTCATTATTTTTTAAAATTTGGTCAGAAGAGATTTCTCGCGAAGTCCGACGAGGATATAAAAAGGAAAACACGGTCGGTAATGTCAAGAAACAAATGAGTGCTCGGGATAAAAACAGAGAGACAAACATTTTTGAAAATTAAAAATCTCTTTTTGCGGGAAAAATGATTGAAAGAGGTATGGGATGTATAACAGCTGAAGAAGAGGAAGTATTTGTGAGGAAATCAAAAAGAAAGAAAATAAAACGAAAAATTAATGAAACAGGGGAGATCGTTTGATAAATGCGACTGAGGAGATGTTACTTTAAAAGAAATGGAAAACAAAAGTTTCAGAAAATTTTCGAGAAAGCCGACAAGTAGATGACAAGGAGAGTCATCCGACTTCAAGTGAAGCTAAAGAATCAACTGATCACATAAGTTGTAACCCAAGCTTGAACACGTAAATCTTTTATGACGTCATTTGAACACGAAATGAACTAAATTCACATTTTTTCTATTAACTTTCCAACAAAACAAACTCTCGAAAATGATAGATTGTTCCAGAAAACAACATGACGCATCTACCTCTACTACTTCATGGTTCCAAGTCAAAGTTCAAATAAATGAATTTGAAAACAGATTGTTTACAAAAAAAAAAGAAACAAAAGAGATTTCACATGACAGTTGTTGACATTTTCATCTTTTAAGATTTGATGGAAATGATTTGACGAGCATGAAGCCATCTCACATTGAAACGTTTCCCAGAGCAAAACTCTGAAAGATCACTCACTGAAAAATGAGGAGGAAACGATTTCAAAAGTTCAAAAAACTTCAGAAAAACCCTGTTGAGTGATTGCAAAGCAATCTTCAAAGACAGTTTAATAGCAAGTTGAACTGTGGCATGTTGCTAGCTAGACTTCAATCTTTCCCCGTTTTACCGAACGTTTACTAACCCCCTTTCGACTACCTTCACTTACATTTGAAGTTTGTAGTGATCATCTGCTGATAAAGACTTCTCAACAACTCTGACACAAACTCTACGTGGCGGGAAAGATCTATTTTGAATAGATTAATTAAACACTTAGAACATCAACATTAACTGATTAGAGAATATCTTGAAAGATCAAATTCCATTGTCTTCCGTGAAACCAAGAAAACGCAAATTGCGGCATAAATAACTCTCTCTATATGATAAAGCTCGTGATGTAACATGATAAGAGAAGGTGCCGAATATGAGGTTTACATCAAAATTTGAGGAATTTACGAGGAGACAAGAGAATCAGCACTTTTGAAACCTAAGCGAACGAGAGGATTTCAGTGAGACATTAGCACAACCGGTCAGATTCGCATTTACTGTAAAAATAATTTTTCGAACAGCTTTTATATGATCCTACATGAACTTGAGATCAATCATCACATAGACTTGAACTTTTTTTCCCCATAACGAAAGTGAACCTCTCCGAACTGATTTTTGTGGTCTTATTACGATGTGTGGTTATGGTCATGTGCTTCCGTGCAACTGATATCTATTCACCCTTTATGCAAGGTAACTCTTTTCGTCGTAATCAGCTTTATCAGTAGCTATATATATAATGAAATATTACTTTCATCTTGATAAGTCAGAAGACTCCCCAGTTCTACTGATTTTTCATCAAAATGGTATGCAGCAAACCGTTATGAACATTAGTCATAATCATATATGTTTAAGAAGTTCCTCATTGTTGCCCTTTGTGGACTGGCTCTTGCTCAAGCTGTAGTTATTCGTAAACCTGAGCATCTCTCTGGACAAGCTCTTGTTGATTATGTAAATCAACATCAGAGCCATTTCAAGGTATCATTGCCATATCGATATCCGGCACATGCTTTATTATTGTAGACCAAACTCTCCACCAGATTCTCTGGAATGGACAAAGGAGTCAAAGGGCACATCATGGGAGCCTTGATGATCGAGGTCCCAGCCGAAGACCGCGTAAGAAAATTTGTTCGATTTTGTATTCACAACCGTTATATTTCAGAAGAATGAGGTTAATCACGATGACATCGAAGATGCTACCATCCCAGACAGCTTCGATTCTCGTACTCAGTGGCCAAACTGCCCATCCATCAACAACATCCGTGATCAATCTTCTTGCGGTAACGGATAACTCCGAGACATTCAACAAACTAATTTTAGGATCCTGCTGGGCTTTCGGAGCTGCTGAAGCTATCAGCGATCGTATTTGCATTGCCTCTGCTGGAAAAACCCAAGTTACCATCTCTGCTGACGATATTCTTTCCTGCTGTGGACGTATTTGCGGAAATGGGTACATAAATACAAATTTGTTCATAGTTTATATGTGAATACAGATGCCAAGGAGGATACCCAATTGAAGCTTGGAAGCACTACGTTAAGGCTGGAGTTGTCAGTGGAGGAGCATATGGAAGGTAAGGGGACCCTGTGATACGTTAGACTATTTGAACATTTTAGCAATGTTGGTTGCAAGCCATATCCATTCCCACCATGTGAACATCACGATAATGCCACTCGCTACAAGCCATGCCCATCTGACCTCTACCCAACTGACCAATGCAGTCACTCCTGTGAAAGCGGATACAGTATCACCTATGATAACGACAAACACTTCGGTTTGAACGCTAAAAGGTCATAATTTCATAAATTCTATTCTTCAGGAAAGTCTGCTTATGCTGTTTCTCACAAGGTTACTGACATTCAAAAGGAAATTCTTACCCACGGACCAGTTGAAGTTTCTTTCACCGTCTTCGAAGATTTCGAACACTATTCCTCTGGTATCTACGTTGTAAGTTACATCATCAGATCATTCAAGCCTAATTGATTACTGTTAAGCATACCGCTGGTGCTAAGCTTGGAGGACATGCCGTCAAGATGATCGGATGGGGTGTTGAAAATGGAACTCCATACTGGATCTGCGTCAACTCATGGAACTCTGACTGGGGAGAGAAAGGTAAAAACTAGAATTCCATATGAAGAATAAACCAATAACCCTGCTTCAGGATTATTCCGTATCATCAGAGGAGTCGATGAGTGTGGAATCGAAATGGGTGTTGTCGGAGGAATTCCAAAAGTCTAATCCTGTACATTATGTTCAAAAAAAATTTATTTTCCTGTTTCAATAATAGGAATTGTAATTATTAATTAATAAATATATTTATGAGCTTTCTAGTTGATCAAAGAAAATTAAATTATTATATTATAAAAGACTGTTGAGTTGTGTGGTGCTGAAGGTATGCAAGGAGACATGTACGAGCAATGTCCCAATACAATTACAGTTAATGGAGACAACATTGATTTTTGGTAAAAAAAAAAGAAAATTTTTAAAGAGAAATATGAAAAAAACGAGTTTTTTTCACTTCTCTCCATGAACTTTCTAAGATTTTTCGGTCAAAAACTGTCAGTGCACTCCCGAAGTGTTTTTTGTTTGCAAGTTCTTCATAAGGTTTTTATGTAGTTATTATTTTCCAATTATCCCAATGACTATGATTGTCGACAATAACTGTGACCCTCATTTTGCCTCTTTCTTTCCCTCTCTACAGCTTACTTTCTTTCTTTTTCACTCTCATTATCTCATACTCTTTCTCTTTCTCTCTCAATCTGTATCTTCATAGACGATTCTAAGCTACAACTTCTGTAAGTAACAAAGATATGGTAATCAGATACGATCATCAAAACGATCTAAGGACAACCGATGGCAAAGCTTCCCCCCCCCTCTACTCTAACAAAGAAAGTTTTTTTTTATTGTTTTTTCTGTGAATCGAATCGATATTATTTTGAAAAAATGCATGTCTAATCATATTACTATATATGTTTGTCGGATTTGGAACGATCTCGATGTTACCAAAAGTTCAAACTACATCCTTTTCATAACAATTAGTGATCTTTTTATTTTTGTTTTTGTTTCTTAGTTCTCGTAATATTGTAAAAAGGTTATTGATTTTGTCATTTTTATGTTTTTTTCTCCTCTCTTCTTCTATATGATCGCCTGGAATGTTGTCTTCTCATTCATTCTCCTAAAATTTGATTTGAATATTTCTTCGTCACGTAATTACGTGAATTACGTGGAACGCCGTGAATCATTTCAATCAAATTGCCTCAGGCAGGCGGCTTCATTTTTGTATGAAAAATATGAAATTCTTGAAAAAGTGTTGTTGTGGTTGTTGTTACTCCTTCCTTTGATCTGCCTTCTCTTGGTAAACGTGGAACAGTATGAGATTCAGATGAAACAACGGATAGGAGTCGGTATACTAGCCTTAACAAGTATAATACTAACTGGCATTTACTGGAAAGCAACTAAAGCAGCATTAGAGGAAGATACATCAACTGTGATAAGAGCTGATCGCATTTATACAAATTCAAGGTTTGTCCCAATATTATCATCCCTCATATGATTTTCATGTTTCAGCGACGACACCGATTCTTCTCTATTCGTTTACAGAGCTTATTATACTCGAACTCGACATATTCGACTTTATTCAATTAACAAATGTTTATCACCTAACTTCAGGTAAATGGATTTGTATTATCTAATAAGACTAATTGGTGAATTTTAGTTTAATTGGCAAAATTGGTAAGCTAACAATAGAATTCTGGCCACAACCATTAGAAGGAACCTGTCCATGGCGATGGGCAGACGAATGTTTGTATAATACATATATGCTGGAATCAACTCAAAAAATTCCTAAAGGAACTAAAGTAAACAAAGTGAGTAACGTATTGATGGTAGTTCTAACTATATCATTCATATCATAGTTAACTTTATATCGCAAGGATAAGAAAACAACTATTGATGTTCATGAACCTGTACGAAAGCTTAAGAAAGGTCTGACTGTCTGTGTGCCACCACTCTACTGGTTCCTATCCTCTCTGTATCATTATGATTTTCATGCTTTTGAGGTATACTGATTGGGTAAAACTGATAGCTTTCATGGAATGGTGGAAGCTACAAGGAACATCCAAGTTCATCATATACTCACACTCAACAAACAGAGAAGTGAAACAAGTTCTTGATCATTATGAAGATGAAGTTTGTCTTATTCATAGGTCTTAAAGTTATGATATATCTTAAAGGGTATTCTCCAAATTGTTGATTGGCCTGAGCTACCGACCACGACAGATGAAAATCCAAATCTTTCACTTTATCGACTGGGTCATTCTATGGCACACAACGATTGCGTTCAAAGAATTGGAACAGAGCTAGGAGCTTTGGTAGATATCGATGAAATGCTTCTATTGAAGTTTGTTATTATTCGTTATCATTACTATTCATCTATTTGAAGACAGAAATACCTTGTGCCTACAGCTCAGGAACTTTTTGACGAGTTCCCACTGTTAGGAGCAGTATTGTTCCCTCATTCCATTTTAATCTTGGAACCTCCTCTCTACTCCCACGATTTTGTTTTGGATTTTGCGAAAACCGATTTCAGTGGAATTTTAACACCAACCACAGCAAACATCACCGGCCCACGAAAAGTTTGTGTATCTACCTTGAACATAGTAGAGGATGTTGTTTAAAGACACTTTTCCGTACTGAAGCTGTACGTCGATTGGCTACTCACCAAGTATCACAATTTGAAGGCCACTCTTGGTTCTCACAAAAAGTTAACACGATCAAAAGAAGTTCTAATAATATTCTATTTATTCAGTTGACTCCATCAACCGCTCAGCTTCTTCATAACCGTTATAACTATGCTACTGGACAGGATTGGCATTCACGACCTGTATCTATGCTACCTCCCGATGTGAATGCAAAAGATTTCCAAGGCAGACTTATACATACAATGAAAACTATATTCCCATTCGGAGCAGCTTTCAATCCTGGTACACAGAACGCTCTTGGTGTCTGCTTGGGAAGGTAATCGAATGGCTATTCTCAAGGAATCAAAGATAATTTGTTGTATGTTTATTCTTTTTAGTTGGCGCGAAGAAGGATGCAAAACGCCTCTGACAAGTTGTCGCGATTTGATTGAAAAAATGGAAGTATGGGTGTTTACGGAAGAAACTGATGTCTACAGGATAATCTAATTGTTTTAAAAGTAACCAATTAAGCAATGTGTTTGTCGCTCTAATCCATGCTATTCAGCCAACCATTTTTCTGTATAAAAGCTGTATGCATACAAGAAGAAGCTGAAAAAATCAAAAATATCGTTTGAAAGCTTTAATTTTTTTATTTTTAAGTTTTGTTTTTCATTTTTAAACTTATACAATCTAATAAATTATATACTTTTAGTTTATATCATACATATCCTAATCAGGTTTGAATAAGAACTCTGCCTTTCCATCAGTAGACAGGCTATACAGAAAGCAGTGGAAAGAGAGAGAGAGGTAGATAGAGAGAGGGCTCGTTCATAGATTTTGGTGGTTTCAACTCTGATTTTCCTGTTCATCTAGCTGATTTTGTTTTAAAATTGTAATGAAAATGATGATGTGTAAGACAAAAAAGGTAATAAAGCCTAGACAAGGAAGATATAGAGAGAGAATATGCGATGAAATGAACTTTTTGAAAGTTTTTTCGTTAGCTTATCCTCGATCTGAAGTCTACGTCTGCCATGAAATTCATAAAAAGGAAAGTGTACGACAAGAATATATATCAGATAGAGATGCAATAGATAAGTTTCATCTTTGGCAAAGCTGTTTTGGCGGTCTGATGCTGAACCCATATAAGACGGAGGAACAGCTTCAATTGTTTTCACACCTCTACTGAAACGTTTTCTGAAACATCATCACTGTATTCTTTTGGCTAATATTTGCAATTTTGCGTTCTATTTGACAAAACGACTAACTGTGATTCAATAATAGAAGCTCCTACGTCCTCTTCTTTACTTATCACTTTTGATTGTTTCCTTTTCATTCTCATGCCAACCTTTTTTTTCTCATCCCTCCCTCCCATATAAGAAGTGGTACGCAACTATCATGTCATTACCACTTTCTAATAGGTATTTTTCTTTTCTCATTCTTTGCAATGGTCCTCTTGCTGCTTAAATAAGGGAATGAACAGCTGTTTAGCTTTAGTTCACGTGGATTCTCAAGCGAGTCATCACGTATGTTTTCAAGTAACGATCATCACCCCCCATTAAATGTTGTGACAAACATTTTTTTGTTTGAGTTATCCAGAAATACAATTGGATGAATAGATGAGACTCAATTACCTTTGTTACTCTCCTCTTTTTTCCTGTTTCGTCATATCCAAATCTGGTTATGATCGAGATGTACGTGATGAAAAAGAGCAGGCAAGCTTACAGATTATTGCGGAAAGCTTTTTGTCTCGTACACGAGAAGAAAAAAAGTTTTTTCTCAAATTTTTACTTTGCCTTTTAGTTGTCATCATTATGTTTTGCCTCAATGTTTGATCATCCGAGTAAATTCTCAAGCAATCGACTTTCTCAAGCAAACTTATCATCATCTTTGAGTTCTTAGAAGGTTTTTTAGCTTTCGAACATTACTTGATGAAAGCATCAGCCAGCCGACAGGCCGGTATCCCCATTTTTATAATATCGATGTTTCTTGTCAAAAAATGTCACAAATTTCACAAAAGATAGAGCACAGCAACGAAATCTGGATATTGTTGAACCTGCTGCCGCAGAAGCATAGCTATACATTCGTTGAGGAAGTTTTTTTTTCTCATAATATTTTATAGTTTGTTTGTTTTCAAACACCAAAATGCTATTCATCATTTGAAATTTTCATTTTTTCCTTCTGCTGCTTCCTTCCATCAGCCAATTCATAACTGTCTTGATTGTCATTCTCACTTTTCCTCCAAATGAAATCTCATTGAAGAAAAAAAAAACATTCTTCAGTCTACACATCCACACAGACAGACAGACATTTCTCACAAAAAACAACAATTGATCTTTTCCGTTGTAGATGTTCCATATATGGCTGTTTATTTGTTAACAAACATCTATTTCCATGTTATTATCAATAACTTTCTATGAATATATGTGGTTGTGTGTGTGTGTGCGTAGTCCTTCACTAGCTTCTTGCTTCAGAATGTGGTCTTGGGTGTATTTCCTCAGCTTCTGCTCTTTATCTCTTGCCCAATCCAACTATGAAGGGTTTGTTTTATAACTTCCTCGTTTCACATTCCAAACTACTGTTTTCAGACACAAAATTGTACGTGTCATTCCAGCAGATGATAATCACATGCGTGTTTTGAGAGATATGGGTGGACAATTAGGATATGAGGTTTCTCTTACACTCTCTTTTCTCTCCTCAATATCTTCTGATGCTTTTCACAGTTTATTTTCTTTTTGTGTTCTTCCTACAACAAACCGGAAGCTTGTGTTTTCAGCTTGATTTCATCAGAAACATTCACAATGTCGGACGACCCGGCGATTTGATTGTTGCTCCTGAAAACCTTGATAAAACACTAAATTATTTAAATGACGCTCAAGTTCCAAATGAAATTCTAGGTAAATATCATATTGTGACGAACACATTATCAGCAACTTCCTTACAGTTAATAATTTCGAACGAGTTGTACGTAGAGAGCGTAGAGCTTTAGGGCAGGCACCCAATGAGTACGAAGACGATCCTACACTAATCGGAAAAAAATATTTACCGTTTGATAAGGTATACACATAGCACACAATGAAGTCTAAAATTGAGTCGCAGCAAATGGAAATACTTGGGCGGATTGTTGCTAGAAATCCTCGGAAAACTAGGCTAGAACAGATTGGAGTATCAACAGAAGGAAGACCTATCAAAGCAATTTGGGTACCAATCTCTTAATATTCCTTAATGAGAGATGCTGACGTCTCGGTTTCAGATCGGATATCCATCCAATAGAACAAAAACAATTCTTTGGATTGATGCAGGTATTCATGCTCGTGAATGGATCGCTCCAGCTACTGCCATGTATGCAATTTGGCATGTAATCCTTAGCTACTTAAGAACTTTTCATTTAATTCTTTAACATTCAGCTGGTGAATGACAAAATATACACCACTCTATTGCATCATATTGATATTGTCATTGTTCCGAACGTCAATCCTGATGGTTATGAATACAGCCGTTTACATGAAAGATTATGGCGCAAAACTCGGTAAGAGAACGTAATTACTCGTACTCGAAATTCAGTTATACTATTCTGTATCTAACCTAATATCTTTAGTTCAAAAACAGGAGCTGTTACCTGTTATGGTGTCGATGCCAACAGAAATTTCCCCTTCCATTTTGGACAAGAAGGAGTTAGCAATCAATCATGCAGGTACGTACCGAAAATGGAATAAACTTTTTTCAAAAAAAAAGCTCTTTTAATTGAAAAATGAAAAAAAGAGACAACAACCGGTTGTGCGCGTCTTGAGAGAGCAAAATGACGTGGCATTCCGAAGGTTAACTTTACGTGATCTGAGGAAGCGCAAACATGCTAATTAGCGATTTTGTTGAGGGAAAAAATAAACAAGTAGAAGAATGATTCATAACGGATTACTTACAGTGAAATTTACTGTGGAACAAATGCTGAGAGCGAACCAGAAGTTAGAGCTGTTGTAAATGCTCTCAGGAAGTATAGTTCAAGAATTGGAGGGTCTGAAGGAAACGTTTATTAAGTTGTATCAAGATTATGTTTTCAGTTATTTAACCTTGCATTCTTACGGTCAAGATATTTTGTACCCTTGGGGACACACTGCAAACCGAACAGAACAATACCCGCCTGATGTTGCTGACTTGGTCCTGTCTCATGAAGACACTTCGCAAATTAACTATGCTTGATTCAGGTTTCTATGGGAAACAGAATGGCTGCTGCTATCCGAAGTGTTAATGGAACCATTTATACAGTAACAAACAGTGGCAGCGGCTTTTGTAAGCAACAAATCGTTTAACATTGCCTATTAATCGTTTTGAGATCCCGCTTCTGGAGCTTCAGATGACTGGGCTAAAAGCATTGGAATAAAGTACTCTTACACCATAGAGTTATCTCCCAGAACTTCTTAGTAAAACTTGATTACAGATTGTTTTGAGCTTATTTCTCTATTCTAGTTATGGATTTGAATTACCGAATAACTTCATTGAAAGAGTAGCTAGAGAAACACTTAAGGGTATGCTAGAGCTTGGTAAATCATTTGTTAAGAAAACCAAATCAACCACTGGAGAGGTAGGTGAATTCCAGTTTTCCTTTCCTAGAATCTATAGAAACAGCTATCTGCATTAGAGTTTCATTGCTTGTTGTCATATCTCAAAAACAAGTATTGATTACAGATTTTGAGAGCTAAATTGAACGATGGAGAAATAAATTCGAAACTGCGAAGTCAAGGTCGACAGGGATAAAGACGATTTGTAGAACTATGTTTGTATAGCGAGCTTTTTAGTAACTTGCAATCTTATTTATAAAACTGATAAGTATAGTTTATTCGTGCATCATCTATAATATTCTTCGAATATGTATTCGTTTCAGTGATTTCGCATGGGACACAATAAATGTACATATTTCTATTAATTAATATTACAAACTCTAACAACTTATTTCAATTATTACCAGTAACCGATTAATCTTCTGTACACTTCGGCATCTTGGAGGATTATTTGGACTTCGTGAAATAATCAAAGAGATTCCTATTCAACTTCCTTATACCGGTAGGACTCCGGCCATCTGCAATTCTCTCATTGTCAATCAAATCTATTATACAATCTGCTTACCTTCATCATTTAAAGGCATACAACGTTTTTGAGGACTCTTACGAAGAACCAGCTTCTTTGGAGAGTTATGAGCTATTCTAATTTCTTCAGCCATCATTTTTGAGCAAACTGATTCTCTAAACTCAGAACTGCTAGGTACCCTGAATATTTTTTCGTAACTGAGCATAAACATGGTTGCTAACCTTGATCTCTTCGCTCGGGTAGTACTTTTTTTAACAGTCTCAGAAGGAGTTTTCTCCCAATAGTCGTCTAGTCTCTTCCGGCAACTCTGAAATACTAATTGTATTCAGGCAAACTCGCGGAAAAGTACGGACGGTCGTAGGAGTATTAGCGAAAGAAATGTCGTTAGTGGATCCTCGAAGCTCACTCAGAAACTTTTCATAAACATAGTTAGGCAAGTTCTCCGTGGGATACCTTTGAAAGATTTTGTTGTTTTATAAACATATTTACTAGTTTACTTCGCATAAAAAATATTCTTCTTCCTTCTAGGGAACCTACGACATTGCGGAGTAACGGCATCTTGGTTAGTGATTTCTAATAAAGCTAAGTTTGGAGATGACGGCCTAGATGTAGTGATTTTCAAAGGATCGATTATTCTGACTTACTTCATTCGTTTAGCTTTTGGTGACTTAGAGAGTGTTTTCACAGGTGTTTTGACGGGAGTTTTGACAGGAGTTTTAACAGGAGTTTTAATTGGTGTTTGCACAGGAGTTTTCTTCGCTGAGCTGTGGGTCGATCCCAACAACTGTTTAGGCTTATATGGGTTTGAAAGAGCTTTTCTAGGTGATGTGAAAGATCTTGTCAACGGGCGTTCCAATATTTCTATCGCTTGATAATCCGGGAACTCTTCTTCAAACCCGTTGATTTCGGAAGAGTACTCTCGATTTCGGTTTGTCCAAATACGTAGGTTACTCTCATCCATTGTCACGAGGTGACTGAATTGATAAGATGACAACAAGTCAGGTGATGAATAACTCACTTTCCCGTTGTGCTCCAAGATACGGAGGTAACTGCAGTGTTGTGTTTTCCAAAAGAATGTGAAGGCTGTACTTCTGTAGCCAAGGATCGTGGGAATCCCTCACAGTTAGAACTGTATAAATCCTAAAAAATACTTCATGAGTTGAATTCTAACTCTTTTTAACCTGAAGATTCCACAGAACAGCGTTTTCTTCAGTAGTTCCAGTTAGAAGATGATCAGAGACGGGTGAAGCACACATCTAGTCAAGTAAAAAAATGAGCACTCGAAAGGGCCTAAAATACTTACCATGATATCGTAACTTCCAATGGCAGCTCCTTTCAATGCACGAACTCAAAGGAAAGAAAATAGAGAAAGATTAAAGGAAACTTACTTGGTTCTAGATTATTAGTAGTTGCAGCATATTCATAAATAATATTATTAGTGATGGCAGCGAAAAGAGAAGAGCCATGACGATCCAGTACTATACTCGATACTCCTGGAGTGTACGCTTGTTTCGGAGATCGAAAAATGAAAACTAACCGACGTCTCTTCTTGATTTCATTGGTATTGGTATTTGCAAGGTTCTCAGCAAATGGCCTTCATCATTCACGGGCATTTTCCTGGTATCCCACACTCTCAATCCACTACGAAAAAAATAAATGACACCACTTATTTCAAGAATAACCTGGAAGCGCAATCAGATCCCGAGACAACTTCATAATCATTCAGATACAGCACGGCAACTACTTTAGGCGGATCTTTTCGGCGAACACCTTTTCGAGTTGGAGTTGTATTTACATCTGACGAATAAGAAAGGTACTATGGCACAATTAGTTTCAAACCTTTGATTACATGCGAGTTTGAGAAAGCTTTAACAGAGTGCGTATACATCAAGCCACTTCTTTTTTCTTTGTGCATACTCTTGATACGTGTATCCCAAAGGCGTATTTGGCCATCTCTCCCGCCAGAAACAAACACGTCTAAAAAAGGATAACAAAACACAACTCATGGTATTCTCACTTGAGCAATTAGGAGCGAAAGAAGCAGACCGAACAGTTGCATCATGACCAGCAAACAATGTGGCCTTAGGCTCTTTAAAGTTTACATCCCAAAGCCTTAGAAGAAATTATAACGGGCATATATTATTCGATCAAACCGTATGTTTGCATCACCAGAGACGGTAAGAACTTGCCCTGAAGCACCTGGAACTCCATTAATATCCATGACAACACCCTTATGAGCAATAAAATCTGTGAAGAGTGCATATATAAACAACACAATTGAAAAGGCTTACTGCTTAGAATAGAACCTTCTATGTCACAAGATGGATCCTCACATGCCGATCGGACATCAAGAATCGAGAACGATCCATTGTTCCCTCCCATATAAAGCAAATGCTCAGAGTTAACATCAAACTTACAGACAACCCAATCGTCCTAGAAACTACTGTACGGAAAAAAAAAGAAGGTAAGACTTACAGTTTCTCCATTACAGTTCGGTACAGTAATAAGACCTCTAGATCCGAAGGAATTTATAAAATTTTCGGGTGCTCGACGACTCGTTGTAGGAATCACATCACACCAATTCATGCTAAGACTAATAGTTTACAGAATATATCTTGGATGCTTACTCTCAGCTTCAAGCTGATAAGTTTTAATTGAACTTTTTCAAAACCTATAAATATCCGCCAAGGAGTTGCTGACGATTACTGTAACGAAACATTCGCGTTGGAGCATGTTTTGAGTTCGTTCGATATTGTGTAGATTTTGTGTAATTAATATCCTGCAGAATAGACTTCTATATTGATTCTCATTCTAAAAATGGAGTTAACGGAAGAACGACGTCGCAATATGCATAAAGCTGCAGGTACTGCAGGAATGCCCAGCTTTTTTATTACATTTGCTTTCATTGTAGGTGCTTTCGTAGACGGCTCTCGCAAAAGAAGAGAAGTAGCTGTGCAAATCAGACGTAAGAAAAGAGAAGAAGTTCTAGATGAGAAAAGAAAGTTGAATATGGAAAATGTAAGTTTTCGAAATTATTTTTTTATGCGAACATCTCATCATTAAGTGCTCCTCTTTTCATAACATATCGCTAGAAGAGAGACAGAAGCTGTTCAAGGGAAGTAAATCAGAGATATTAGAGCTATTGAATAAATATAACAATAATTTATCGTCAGGTAGATTTTTTTTAAAGAAATGTTGTTGATATTCTCTTTTTCTAGATGTTAGCACTGTGATAGGAGAGCTGCTATCGGCTCGTATTCTCGCTAGAATTTGTGAAATAGCTGTTAGCTATGAGGACGAGTGTGCCTTCTCAGCTCAGAAGTATTTCATTTTCAATCTTATTCTAAAAATTTCCTTTCTTTAGACTATTAGCGTCTTTCTACGCGCCATCGACCACTGCTGACACTGTTTCAAATCCACTAATCAAATGCATGTGTGTGATCAAACAAGGAATGAAGTAAGATTGGTTCTCACAATCATTTATAAATTTTTGCAGTCTTTCTTCTTTGAATGCTATAGATGCTGTAGAATTGTTGCAAGCAATTTCTTTGTTTGTAGAGAATACTTATGCGTTTAGAAACGTATTCTTCCTCGAAGATTTTCTGCCGTGTTCTCTAGGGCTTTTGAACAAGTTGGCTCATGATTCAATTAGATAATTCGTAATCTTCTCAGGTATCCAAATGATCTTCAAGTGGCTGAGAGCTTTGTTTGGTTACTCTCTCTCCTTTCTCGAGATTTAAATCGTTATCTGCCACCACCAGAGAAAGTAAGCCGAACATTCATGACTTTTCTCAACATCATTATTCAGCTGCAAGAATATGTCTTAGTTCTCAAAAATGGAGTTGAATCGAAAAATCTGGACTTTAAATTTGGATGTATTAAAATTTTAGAAATTGTTGCATCTAGTGGAAATGACCAAGCCAAGGTTCGTATGAGTTTCAATCGCCTTTCTCATGGTATGATTTAGATAGTAGAAAACACTGGAGTTGTTAGTGACTTACTGGAAATAATGGAGAGTGAGGAAGAGGAAAGCATGGTTCCACTCCTCTCTATTCTATGCAGTGTGGAAAGAGTTAATGACGAACTTCCTGGAGGTGGAATTGTGTTTGTTTGTCTATTTTCAGCTCTCAATCATTTCAGAGATATTTAAAAGAGGATTGATGAAAACTCTAGTTAGTAATATGACATCAGCTTTAATGGCAAGAGATATTTGTTATCTTCTCTATAGTATTTGTGAGAATAATCGTGAAGAAGCGGCACAGGTAAATTTCTTCCCAATATTGCAAGAAATGATAATATGGTTCAAGCAAGCTATCGATGCAGGAGCTTTACAGAAATTACCGAGGGTTTTGGAGAGAATGGGTTTTGATTGCCGACGAGAGGTACGATAAGGAAACCAAAGTTATAATCTAACTTGTTCTATCAGGGTGTTTTTTTCCTCTCGAGCGTACTTCTCTTTACTGGACCAGAAGTTTTAGATCAAATAATTCAAACAAACATTTTAAGAAACTTGTCGGATTCGCTAACAGTTCTAGATACGGAGGTAAGTCATTTGTGAGTCTTCGATCGAATGCAAGTTAGCGGTTTCAGCTCCTCAATGAATTACTATTTATTTTCCAAATTGTTCTCGGACACGGAGAGAAAGTTACAAAAGAGAAACATTGTGAGTGCACTGTTTAATTTGTTTACAATTTTCTCTTCCTTTTACAGTAGAGCAAAATCCGGTTGCCGTTGCATTTGAGGAATTTGGTGGTCGTGCCCGATTAGATTACCTTGTTCAGAGGGATCTTTCTATGATTTCGGTCAAAGCACAGCGTTTGATCGATGAGTAAGTTCACTGTACGAAATCGAAATAATTTTTTTGTTATAGATTTCTAGAAATTCCAGAAGAACAACTTTATGTTTTATAGTTTCCTTGTATTATCTCATTCTCTCGTCATACTACTACTTTAAGAACCTTGAAGGTTCCATTTGGGTGCTGTTCTCGCAGCCTTGTTTTGCACGTTGATCGTCTCATCTGTTCATTCCTCTTCAGTCTTTTGACTGAAATCCTCATACCTGTGACCTAAGACCTTGTTTATATTTGCATATATTTATTACTAACGTTATCATTTGATGGCTTCGAAAAGAAATAAAAGAAAACAAGTAATCAGCAGTTCTTTTCTATCATCATCATCGAACTGAAATTGAACTGACACTGTTATATGTACTTGCTGACTCCATTCATCTCGGTGCGTACAGGTTCAATTGAACTAGAGATCGAAATCGATAATGATCAATGAAACAAGGTGCTGTAAAAAATATAGATATCAAAAGATCATTATTTGGTACTGCAGTCAGTTATGTTTTATATTTGTTTTAAAATGTTTTAGCAGAAGAGGAGGGAGGGCATATTTACTCAGAACTCGCAAACTGTATTTGAACGAGAAAGTTTTATCGTCGCTTTTGTCTCGAATGCATTCTCTGAAGCAATTTTTGTTTTTTTCTGAGTCATTTCATGAACGAATGAGACATGGCAAATGATGTTGTCTCATCAAATTTTCTTCTTACGCGTCTTATTAGAAGGAAACGTCTGAGTTCCAGAAACCTTGAGAATTTCGTGTTTTCAACTTATAGTTTGTGTGATTTTGGCTGTGTGGTGTAGAGCCTACATTTGCTTTTCTTCTTCGTGATAAATATTCGTATATAAAGTGCCATTGATAACAGTTCTTAGGTACTTGTACAACTGCGATGATCATCAGGCTGCTGCTGTTATCCACACTCCTTTACGGTTAAGTTTGGAAGAGTTTAAGAATTAACCTCTGCGATTATATAGGAGCTTGTGATTCTTACAAAATTCTCATCTACAATCCAATATTCGGACATTCTCATGTGAAGTTTCTTTCAACACTCGCTGATATATTAACTGATGCTGGGCATCAAGTCGTAAGTTCCCTCTGCCAATTATCTCTTCGAACCGGTCGTTTGAAGACTGTCTTTGCGCCCGTCGCGAATGCCGAGCTTGAGAATAAGCATTGTCTGAAAACTACGAAAGACCTTAGAACCATGAAGCAAACTCCAAAATTGAAAGAGTACCATGTGAAGATTGAGGAAAAAATGGGAAAACAGTTGTGGACTATAGGCACAGACCCAAGAGCTCTCTTTGCAGTAATATCTCATTCTTGAACTTGCTTACACGTTATTCTTTGTTAAGGTGGCTGACGACATGAAGAAAATGTTCGCAGAACTATGTCGTGGTAGGGAAGGCAAGTGATATATGACGTATATCAACACATGTTATAGGCGTGCTCGATAATGTAGACATGATAGAAGGTCTCCGTAAAGAGAAGTATGATATTGCTCTGGCTGAACCGTTTTCATTCTGTGGTTTCGGTAATATTTGTTGTTTTGCTATTTTCAATTTGCTTCGCATTAGGAATTTTCGAAAAGCTGGGTATACCAGTCACGTTGGCTGCACTCTCCAATGTTCAAATGGATTACGTTTCTCGTTATATTGGTTAGTAAAAGCCTTCAAAACTGTACGAATCTTTCTATAGGAGAACCATTGGGTGTAAGTTTCGTACCTGGGTCACTTAGTCCTTTCTTACCAAACATGACGTTCTTCCAAAGAGCAGAAAACTTCATCGGAACATACTTCGGAATTGATTACTTCACTTCTAGTTTAGCTCTTGAGCACAAACATTTCCTCAAGGAGAACAAGTCCTTCAGATCAGTAGAGGTTCGATTCCTTCAGATTTTATCATTCACTCAAATTTTTTCTAGGATATTATCGGCGATGTATCTTATGTTTTCCCTAATTCCGATCCTTATTTGAATTTCGAACGCCCCATCGCTCACAAAACAATCGAAGTTGGTGGTATAACTATGAACGGTGTTGATGATAATATTCCAAAAGTTGATGAGGTATTGGATTTTCTAAAACACAGCAAACATCTCACAAATTAGAAATGGAGTAAGATTCTGGATGAGAGAAAGTACACAGTTTTTGTATCATTTGGCTCAGTTGCTTTAAGTAAACAAATGCCTGATAATTACAAGTAAGTTTCTTAGATATGCTGTCCTGGTTACGAACCACTCACAACTTCAGAAAGACTCTTCTGTCAGTTTTCGAAGAGCTGAAAGATGTTACTTTCATTTGGAAATATGAAGAAGACACTGACATGGCTGACCATCTTCCAAATGTTTATTTGGGTAAATGGTTACCACAAGTTGCTCTCCTCCATGATCCAAGATTGGATCTCTTCGTTACCCATGGAGGGTTAGGAAGTTGTGTCGAAGTAGCATATGCAGGAAAACCAGCTTTATATGTGAGTCGTCTTCTGCACTGAGAATTTGAGAAGCACTCGATAACGTGATCGAAATGAGAAGTTAAGCATAAGGGTTCATAAGCTTTTCGAAACAGCTTTCATTTTTGAGAATCAGAGTTTGTTACAGGCTGTGCACTGAATGATAGAACGCTATCAACAAGATGTGTTCGTTTCAGATTCCTCTCTTTGCTGATCAGACGAGAAATACTATGATGGTTAATCGTTATGGAGTTGGAGGAAGTTTGTTGAAGACGGACCTTTCAGATAAGAAGAAGATTGTTGATAAGCTTCGAACGCTTATTACTGATAAGACGTGAGTCATTTTTCCAGTTTTCTCCTATAGGTCAGTTTCAGATATCGAGAGAACGCTCTTAAGCTTGGAGAGATTTTGAGGTCAAACCCAATCAACAAGAAAGAAACATTCTTGAAGCATGTCGAGTTTGCTGGAAGGTAGGATTCTCTTTGGAGTGAGATTTTAAGAAAGTTGATTTTCAGAGTTGGACGGATTCCTAACTTAGAGTCATATGCGAGACATTTATCTTTCGTTGAGTTCTATTTCCTTGACGTAATCGGTGTTGCCTTGTTGATATTACTCTCGGCTGTAGTTTTGACTTACTTGATTATTCGCAAACTTTTAAATTTAGTATTTTCAAGCAAGGCGAAGAAAGACTGATTCTTCCTAAAGCGTCTTTCATGTATATTGTCACTTTTCCTTTTCTTAAACCAAATAAATTAGTTTCCATCTTTTGTATACAGAGTAGAGAGAGTTTCTCATCTTCCTCTATCGATGCTTCAAAATCATGTTCTCTTGTGTCTCTAGGATATGATGAACACAGATAATCATGCTTTTCGTTTTGAAATGAGAAGGGAACTGAGTTGACTAATAGTGAAGTCACCTTCGTTCTATTGAGTTACATGATAGTGTAAACAAACGATTGTTTTCCAAGATAGCAGGAAAAAGGTTCTCATCCAAAGTTTTTACTTCTTAAATCTTCTTTTAAGCTCATCATTTCCTCTAATTAATTATCAGTTTTCGAGTTTTCTGACGTTGGTCCAGCCACACCCCTACATCTGTTAAGACAATCGGTTTGATCTTCGGCCGATTCTAAATGAAACCGTTTCTCACTTCTACTTAATCTTCCACTTCCAAGAACTTTTTGAATTTCAAGGAAAATTCTTTTTGGTTCAATGGAATTCCATTCCACTCGAATATTAATTTGTCTCAATTATAAATAGGTTCTTGAACTATACAATACATTTCTTCAACTGAGCTTCTACCAAAGTTTCTTGAAGATGTTAAACTTCTCACGATGTCAATGGTCTATGAAGAATAAGTTGGGAATGAGCTTTCAAGTCCATCTTAAGTCTTATTATAACTTCTCAGAGTGGATTGAACTTTCAACGATTGTACCCGTCTGGTGAGTAAAGAGTCTTTGTTTCATTATTTTACTTGAATTTCCGAACGCTTGTCAATTCTGATAAGAACTTGATATGACTTTTTGGAACAAATAATCTTTTTTGTTCAATAATCTTATCAAGTTTCACAACCATGCAAGAAACTAGTAAATTGACGTTCGGTTATGGTTCTGTCTGGTGTTACCTTCCTATCTATTTGTTTCTTTCTTTTTCTTTCTATAATTTCGCTTGATCCTATTTTGAGAAATTTATAAAGTTCAGACTTGATTCCAGTCCTTCTGAATCAAACGTCGTCATTGTAATATCACTTCATTACAAAAAAAATTACATCTGTCTGCAATCTTGAAGTGATGAGTATGGTACCGTTTGCTCTGCTAATGTAAGGTCCTATGGTGTAGTGGTTATCACGTCTGCTTTACACGCAGAAGGCCGCCGGTTCGATCCCGGCTAGGACCTACGTTTTTGGCTTTTTTCAAAATAATCTTTATCACAAAGTGAATAGATTAGATATATGTTTCTCATGATTGTTGCGGAGAAGCAGCTAATCAAACGCTGAAATGTCCTTTAATGGGTTATTGTGTCCGTTTTATTGTAGAACGCGACTCCTAATGTATTGGTCTTTTTCACTCTGGAATGAGTTGTATTATGATTGATCTCAATATTCATTGAATTCAGAATATAATGACTGTTATGAATCATGCATGAATCACAGAGACCGGAAGGTAAAACTCTTACGAAGACGAAAACTTCAAGATATTTTCTCAGAAAAGGTGGAGAAGTAAGATTACATGTATGTTTGAAGCTCTCATTAATACCAGTTTTTCTGCAATGAACGTTTATTCTTTTAATTTGTGCACATATAGTCTTTCCTTGAAAATAAGAGAAATTTTGAAATGTTTTCAAAATGTTCATTGTTCGAATATTTTCTTAATGGAATGAGCTTACTCACGATTTTCACTTGAAAAGAAACAAATGAAGAACTACGAACTTTGGATGATCCGATGTCACAGCTTTAATTCGTAATATGTCCTCAAGGCAAATACAGCCATTGAATATGAATGAAGACTGTGCATCTACCAACGAAGCATGAGCATCAGTCCCATCAAGCGGCTTCTCTTTCGTTCACTCTCACAGCATTCGTCCATTCTCTCAATATTCTAAATGTTCTCTCATCAATTTGCCCTCTTTCATTTAGCTCCTCTCAGCCAATCTTTTCTGAACAGATAGAATGGACCTGCATGTGCCAGCTCATCCGTTCTGTTTGCTTATTTCGTATTGACACTTGCTGCTGCATCTCCTACTCCCACCTGGTTCAATCTGTCCTTCAGAGTCTCCACGATCGCACTGTTCAGCTTCAGCCCTTTCTCTCATCATCTTGTACTTTTCGCATCATTTTTCATTGTCTGCGTCTCTTAGTCAAGAATATTATTTAACTTTTTTGCTTTTCAATGCTTTCTCTAGAAATTAAACGTGACGAGACAGAGAGAATCAGAAGAACGCCTCATTGTGGATGAGCAACAGTAGCACAGTCGCTGCTCCTGTCTATTCTTCCACATCTTCAGGTTAAGCTATACAACAGTCCAAGCTATATGTATTTGGCTTTGTCTTAAACCAATGTCATCTATAGAACACTCACGTCAGATGAGATTTCACATATCTGTCTTACAGTCTTCTCACTCACTTCATGTCATCTTCGTGCAATCATCATAAACCGTTCAAACAAATATCATGCTGAGCTTCATCTCAAACTTCAATACACTATCTGAAACCGTTCTCTTTCTGAACGTTTTGATTTTCGCGCCCGACTGTCTGAATAATTAGCATAAAACTGTCGTTCAGCTATCATTTCATCCAAATTACGACGCATGAATGGTTGTGTTTCTAATACTTTTTTGTTTTATTAGCCAATCCATCTCCTTCATAATAGGGAAGACACTTAACACGTATTGTATTAGCATGGCAAAGAGGTTAAAATCAGTTAAGAAAGATAGTTTGTGTTTGTTATCATACAAGAATGATTCGCAAATATTTCCACGTTTTTTTAAAAGAAATATAGTTTGATTGTTGATCAGTTTTTGTGTGAACACTTCTTTGATACCAGACGATTGATTTGATGGAATAGTAGTCTGTTCGTTTTCGTATCAAATCCTCTCTCAATTGCTATATGTAATTTATATTAAAAAGAATATTTGATCAATTTATTGTCTTCTCACCTTGTTAATCCTTCATACGCTCACCTTATAAGATTTCAATTAGAATAATCATTTGTTTGCTCTTCTTTCATATTTTATTAGTTATATTACTCTGGCGGCGATTGCAATGTCCAAAATAGGATTCATTTTCTATTCTGAATGTTCACATCAAAAGTAACGAATATCAAAAAGAAAATATAGTGACCGCTACGAGACTGAGAGAGAATAAGAGAGAGAGAAAAAAAGAGGGAGAAAGAGAGAGTGAGAGCGAGAGAGAGAGAGACAATAAGAGAATAGTACATTGTGAAAGAGAAGAACAAGGGTTGGTGAGACTAGGAAGAGGAAACCGGAGTCGAGGAGACTTTAAGAAGACATATTCCATTTCAGGAAAAGAGCCAAGTGTTCGTTACCACTTGCGCTATCCCTAACTACTGACTCGCAATAATTTCAAAATTTGAAGAATGACAATGACAATTTGAAATGTCAACTTCAAAGCTTCGCCTGATATGCAACCCATTCCACAATCTTGACGAACATCTATCTTCGATGTAGAGGAAAAAACTTCAAAATTGAAGAAGCCTCGAATCGTTTGCAGAGAACGATGTCGGAGCGTTCAACTGGAATGAAGAATGACGCTCGCTTTGTTAAGCTCATTTTATCTACAAATTTTGTCTCCACGTATAACAAGTCTGTGTCTCTCATCAATAGCAGGCTTCCATCTCATATGTTCTTTTAATCCAGCAAGTGTATTTAAGATTTTTTATGTTTTTTTCGTGTGCTATCACTTTCCCAATGAAAAAATGTCTGCAATTTTGAAGCTTCTACTTTCTTATCAATTGCGAGATCTTCTAGAAGTGAGAGAATCAAGCAATAACTTTGTGAATTATAAAGTTTTAAAGACAACTTGAACCTTTCCAAAAGTTCATTGATGCCTAGGCTTCATAACTTGGCCTTGATAGTCATAGAAGAATTCTTTCGACCACACTTCACGGTTATTTGCCATGAATGGTCCTAAATCTTCCAGCCTTCAGCCAATAAATCAATTTAGAAGGTAATCTTATCATATCAAGCTCTTTGTCTCTTCTCAGCTTTTCACAGCGTTCTGTCGTTCCACATAGAATTCATCAACGCCAATAATTGATTGTTCCAAACATTTCTCCATCTAGCGAGCTTTCAACTATCTTGTTCTGTCTCTATGAATTTGAGAAATTAAAATGAAAAACGTTTTTAAGACATTTTTTGAATCACAATTTTCGTTTCAAAATTATTATTGATGAAACGAGAATTTCACAAAAGATTTTTCTAAACATAACAACACAATCATCTGGTTTGATCGCACCGTATCTTCTCCTCTTTCAGCTTGCCACCACCCATCTCCCACTGTCTCACTCCATCTCTGTCCAGATCCCATATATCACTAATTTCGGATAATTTCTTATTGAATTATTTCAAATGTTTTTCTTTGAAATCATTCTAATGTATTAATTATGATATTCATGCTTTCAGATGTCGCATAAGGACGTCCAGCTATGAGAAACATCAATATCTGTCTCATAGCTCTCGCATCAATACTATTTCTCTTAATAAATTTGTATGGTCTTCTAGAAATTTTGAGATATTTTAAATTAAAACAGTTGAAGGATTTGCAAGAACGTCTGAAAGGTGTGTGAATCTTCTTCTTTTACATTTACTTTCTATTCTTTACAGAAAGTAGAATACGTGGTGAGAACAACTGGCATACTGTCTTTACAAGTACTTCACTATATGAAATCAGTAGAGAAGCAGATGAAACTACTAAGTCACATAGGCCGAATATCGAATTCCTACCCAGAAGTTCAAAGAAACCTCCTATTCCTTTCATTGAAACGAGCACAACCACTTCAACATCACACACAACTACACGTGCTCACGTGACAACTCAGGTGAGTTTCTTTTTCTCTTTGCGTACACCGATTGTTTGCTTATATCCTCATTCGATAGTTGCAATTTCAGAAAGATGTTGAGCCTCCAACAATCAAATCTATTATTACCACCTATACCACCCGTCCCACTATCTTCGTCACAAATTCATCTGAAATTGAGAAAACAACATCAGGAATTCCTGAAACTGTAATGAAGTTCATTTTTCCCAGTTTGTTCATTTTTTTCATTTTTCAGAGTACTTCGACTCCAAGAATATTAATAACAACCAAACCAGATTGGTTCCTAGATAGCCGCCAATTAGAAGACCAGCGACGTCAAAATGCTGAAAGAAGACGTCAACAGCTAATCAGAGAGGAAAATGAACGCCGATTCAGAGAGGAAGAAGAGACAAAAAAACGCCTGGAGCATGAGATAGAAGAGAGGAAGCAAAACGAACAAGAGGAAAGAGATCGTATCCATAAACTTGGAGAAGAACGTCGCCGAAAAGAGCATGCTGAAAAAATGGAAGAACGTCGCTTACAAGCCATTGAAGAAGCTAGAAGACAAATGCTTCTGAGACAAGAGCATGAACGTATTGAAATTGAAGCTAGAAGACGATCTGATTTGGAGAAGAAAAAACTGGAAGAGAAACAGAAGGAAGAGCTAGAAAAATTGCGCCTTAAGGAACAACAAGAGCTTATCAGAAAGCAGAAGCTCGAAATTGAACAAAGGCGACTTGCAGAGCAGCAGCATCGAGAACGTGAAAAGCTGAGAGAAGAGTTGCGTCAGATCGAACATTTGCGTAGGCAAAAGCTAGAAGAAAATGCGATTGAGGAAAAACTACTAGAAACTGAAGATCGTGAAGATGAAGGTAAAACCATTGAAATGAGTCTGGAAGAAGAAGACGACATGGAGCTCGATGAAGACTATGGAGTCCGAGCAACAACACCACTTGCTCACAAAAATGTTGAATCTCATGTGAACCATTCACGAGAACCTTATCACGTTGAAGAAAATTGGTCACTTGGTAGACATCGCCCGACTACGACTTCATCTCCAAAGGATTCTGTTGAAACTCCAGAACCTCCTCGAAAGTGAGCAGGATTTTCATCTACTATTACACAGAACTGAATTTTCAGCGAAGAGGTTACGATCGTGACAGCTTTCTTGGATATCGGTCGAGGAGAGTGGTTCCATTATCAACGCCCTCTTGAGAAGTACCATGAGTTCATGGAGAATTTACTGAGTTTAAAGAACAACATGGTATGGCATCATCACATAACAAAGAACTTAGCTGTCTGTTTCAGGTTATTTTCACAGATAAATCCAGTTATGATTTCGTGCACAAGTATAGGAAGAACTTGGGATTGATGCCTATGACAAAAGTAGTTCGGATTATTCATTCATTCTGTACCACTGTGCTTTCAGATTCACATGATTCAATTTGATGACTTGCCTTTGTCTAGACATTTACCTTACGCTCAAAAGATTATCGAAGATGAAATGAATAACGATGAGTTGTATTTGGAAGATCCTGATATGAAGAATCATCCTGAAGCCAAATCAGCTGAATATGACATTGTCGTCAATTCAAAAACTTATTTCCTCTACAACACAACAGTAGTGTCTTCTTTTTGTTGTGTTCACTCATTGACTTTCTAGATGGAAGATCCATTTGATACGGATTTCTTTGTTTGGATCGATGCTGGTTATGGACACGGAAATCAAAATGTATATCCATACGATAACGTGTGGCAACCCAAATTTTCTCGTAACAAAATATCAATGATCAAGGTTAGCCGAATATTATGAGAAACTGACAGCAACACATTTGCAGCTTACGCCGGAGCATGATCCTATTAGTAAATATAAAATAGATAATCTTTATCGCCGAAACTGGTCTGTTATGTCTGGAGGATTCATAGCCGGTGATAAAAGGTTTTTCGATCTTTCCTATATGAGTTTGCTTAACAATTCTGTTCAGAAGTATCGGTCAGCTTTACACAATCACTCATAATAAGTTTGTTCATCTAATTTATCAAAACAAAGTAGATGACGATCAGGTAACACAGATAACTTCAGCTTAACCTTATATATCATCTACAGACTGTAATGGTCCTGGCCATCAATGCTTATCCACACTTATTCGAAATCAAACAAGGGGATTGGTTCGATGCATTCCGGCTTTACTCTGATCCAGAAACTCCATTTGGAGCGAAGAACAAATGAAAAATTATTATAATGATCTAGTCTTTCCTTTCATGGTTCTATGGTATATCAACGTGTCTCACTTTCAAGTCGTTGTGATTGTTCAAACTGCTCTAGTCACTTTCCAACTCAGTCCCTGTGTTTTAAACTTATAAGAACTGAAGTCATCCATTATCTGATGTGATATTCTTATATAAGACGTTGTGATACTCAAATATCATTTCAAAATTGTATTTTTACAAGCAGAACAAAGATTTTAATGTTTTCTTCTGTATTCTAAGTAAAGTTGCAAGAATTAAGCGATTGATGCAATCGGAACTCACCAAGAGGATTTTTTGTAAGCAACAGCTTTCCGTGAACAACCGCTAAGAATGTTCAACGAAACACGAAATGAAAACTAACAGGGCATGAATTGAGTGAGTAGAGGCGTTTGTCGTTGTGTGCTTCATTCTAAGCATCATTTCTTGGGAGCGGTCGTTCATGAGCACGTGTTGAGGAAGAGAATGCGCTAATCTGTGCAGCCTAGTTTGGAAAGTGTTTTGCTGATTCATCATTCTGATGTTCGTTCTCTCCACACCCAAGGTTTCTCTTCTAAACGTTGTTAACGACTTGCTTATGATGAGAAACAAAGAAACTTGAACTGTCCTTATGTAATTCTGTTTCTCATAGCTGATGCTCTCTTGTACTCATCTCGAATTAGACTCCCAAACAGAGCTCCTGAATTGTTCGTGTTCAACTTTTTATACAAACAACTGCTATTTCTACATGCTCAATCAGAGAATGTCATCAACTCTGATAAGAGAGTCACTATCTCAAGCAAACCTCTTTACGCCAGGAAACTTCGTTGGAAGCCAAACGAGGTTTTCTTTTTCCGCTCCACGTATTGATCCTATTAATCAACTCTCAGTATTCTAGGTTCATCGAACAACGAAATGAGTATCACTCTATCTTATATAGGCAATGATCCTATTCAGAGCTTCACGCAAAAAAACATCATCTGGTTAGTTTAGACTCTAACTTTATTTCTTCAGAGTAGATTCAGCAAAATTAAATCTTGGGACTCCAGAGTGTTATTGCAATGCTCGCCTCTTGACGGCTTCGATTGTACAGGTAGGTTTTGGAGATTAACAGTGAATGTCCATTATAATACCACCAAGGGGATCGAGAAAACTTCACATGAGGAAGATGTATGCTTGTTCTGAATTTTTGAACTGATCATAATTGATATACTTAAGATGACTTTCCATTCAAGACTTAGATGTTTTCCTCTGGCTAAGCTGAATTCGTACGTTTTTCTTTGTTCTTGTTGTTTTTTCAATTCCTTTGATTGTATAGCGTTGATGAAACAAGGGTAGAAGTCCAGCTTTCCAATATCAGGACTATAGGAATACGGTAAGATGAAGTCCTACACTCTTTCACATTATTTGACAGAAACTTTCCCCAGAGAGACTTTGAAAATCCTGATCCAACGGCAGATCTCACAATAAGTCACAAAAATAAAAACTTATACTGTCACAGCCAGGTTTAAGAAGTTATCAAACGAGTAATTAACTAATTTTCCTGCAGGTGTTGAGTTTGAGCTCCAACGTAATCAGCGAGATGATAACAAGCAAGTACGAGCTTCCTTTCTCTGGTCTTACTCAGTGTTCATTTCAGGAAACCCCCGTTGAAGATTGACTTGAGTTTTATAATTCCATTGGATGATCTTGTGGAACTACTACATTACATATATTTCCCTATCGATGTTG